TATATACCACACAGCAAGTAATCAGTCTACAGATGGATACTGTCATGGTAACAAAGGCTGCTGTTGTGTCTTTGCCACACAATGTAAGCTAATACTGTTAGGAAGCTAGCAGCATATGTAATTAACTCATAAAAAAACTCCGATTGTCTTTTACAACGATGTTTAGCTCGTTTGCAGATGATACATAATGAATAATAATAGCCTTCCAACAAAATTTCACTCAATTTACACATTTTAAATACATAACTGAATGACGATAAAGTCTATACCGATAATTTCATTTGGTTAACTACTCCCCACATGTTGCATACAGTGGACCTCCTCATACAGTATTTGTTCCAAACTATATGTAGAAAACGTAACTATTGGCATATTTTTTTCAATAGACTATATCTATAATATTTGAGAGAAAATGGAGCTTGGAGAGCTGAAATATTTAGACGCAATGCTACTAGTGGCTGGCATGTTCAAAGCCGCCAATCCAGCCTTTACGCCATTTACTTTCCTAGCAGCTGATTGGCTGTACCCCCGAGAGCGGACATGTGGAATATTGTAGATGTTAGCTTCTGTGGTAGTGCTAAGACTATCTCCAGTGTGTCTTCATGCATATTGCAGTGTGTTTGGATTATTAAAATAAGTAAATATTAAACAGGTTTTAAAGGGGTTTCAAGTATTCTTGTGATGATGTTTTGAACCAAGAGATTTGACTGTAATGTACATTCATACTGTACATTAGATTTGTTTGTACTTTAGAGAATCATAAGACAACCCCCCCCCAAAAAAAACACTAATGTCACTCACAAGGGACAGTGCTAAAAGGTCACATTTGCTCCAACACTAACCAGGAATGTATAAAATTCTCCTGGTATGATAATCCTGAGTGAAAATATCACAGTTTCACAGCGTTTACATGACAGTTAATAATATAAATTAGATTCACATCAACTAACTGATTTGTCTTAATAGAAAAGCAGCAATCATTCCTCCTGCTGAATGAATGTGTCACTCCTTAGAGTTATAATGTTCTTATTTATTGTTTTGCATTTTGAAAAAGATGCTGAGTTTAGAGGGGGGAAAAAGAGATCCCTGTAGCTCTGGCGTTCACAAATGAGACATTTGGAAGTAAATTTGAAAGCATCATTTTATATAAATACAGTAGCCATTAGAAGGAAATGTGTTTGAAAAGATGACTGTCTCAGGAGGAAGCTGTTATATGAGAGAATGAATCCTGTGGAAAAAAATTTTTGTTTTCATTTTCCAGTGTAGTTCATAAGGAAACAACATTATCACTCTAATGATCAAAAGACGTCATTTCTGATCAAATCTCTTCATACAAAGAATGAAAAGCAGGTAACCAGCTCCTCCTTCAAAGATGTGTTTGAATGTGGAATGTGATTCTCCTTGTTTACCAATCAGATCTGCTCAACAGACGCATCACAAATGAAAATTCCTACTTTCCTCTGTCCTTCAATGCATTGAAACTGTTTATTTATTCAGGAGTTTTCAAGGTTTGCAGACTTTTTTAAGTGTGTTTTATTGGGGGTTTTCTAAATCAAAGATCATATACTGTCCACAAAACCTCTGACTGGTGCATTTCTAGTGAATGACTGTGATACAGAAAAGGGAAAAACATTAGAATGAATACAATTTTACTACCTCTATCAGGGAACTGGTTACATGTAGTTCTTTTATTTACAGTCCTGGTTTATTTTTAAAAATGGGAGAATAGGTATCAATAATTTACAGGTAAGTACAAGAGATTATAGTCAGGCAACTAATCTCTAGTCTCATTAGCAGGTTGATATTGAAGCACAATAATAAAAGGGATTAAAATAATAGCCCTACAAAATAAGAAATACATAAAACAACCTACATATAAACTATACAATCTATATCTCCTTACGCATTCCACTTTTCAGCAGTTTGTAATATAACAAGACATTTTCAATGCAGGATTTTGCTACACATTTAGTAAAAAGAACAAAAAAAGACAATGTTTCTGCACAGCGAACATCCAGGTCACTCATTTTCACACGGGGTCATGAGGTCAGACGCAGATGGCCAAACTAATTCCAAATAAGCAGAAGATCAGAATTTTCTGGTGATGTTAATTCTACACTCCTGACAAATGAAAGAGTGTGAGGACCATGGTAAGTCAAATAAAGAATATTTTGTGGCCACAGAGGAGGACATATACACCAAAAATAAACTTTCAAGTTTTATATTAATTCCACATAAGCACATTATCTGGTGTTTGTTGTACAAGTCGTACATTCTGCAAGAAAAAAATGATAATTTTTTATTGTTAAGTCAGGAATTTGCAAGAAGAAGTCTAAAATCCCCTCAGGGAGTTGAAGACGCCCAGTTGAACTGGTGAGTTCAGGTACAATCCAGATCGAAGAACTTTTCCCAAGAGCGGACTCCATGGAGCCATGTTGGATTCCAGACCCGTTCGATGAGTTCATGATGAGTCTGCCCCAGAACGTGTTCTGAGTCAGGAAGTTCAACTTGCACTTTGGAAAATATCCAGATGTGCATCTCATAAATGTATTACTTAAACCTCAGAGGACCTCTGGCATGTTTTGTTGCAAATGTCTGAGTTATTTTTTTTTTTCATCCAAATTTCTGACTTTAGAATATATGAGAATATTTTACTTTTAATATGTAAAATGTATGCACTTAATAATATATATATATATATATATAATTTTTTTTTCTTGCAAATTTACAACTTTTCAACATGCAAAAATATCCAATTTGTTTCTTGCAAATATGTGAAATTAATCTAGAAATATTTAAATTTCTTCCTTGTTAATCTAGAGGAGTTTTTTGGTGGAAATGCACTCCTCCATGTTCATGTTCTTTATTTCCTTTGAACTGCAACGGCCCTAATACTTCATTGTAGCTGACAGTTTCAGATGTCTGAAGTATTTCGTCCACTCCCACAGAGGAAGCTTCCTGCTGAGAGCTGATCATCTCTGAGCCATGATGGACGGCAACGCAGCCGCAGAGGCTGCAAACAACCTCTGATCAGGACAACAATCATCCACAGAACCTAAACAGATTTAATCTGCTCATAGTCCTGTGTCGTTATTCATTTGACTGATTTCCACATGTGTGTCGCTCATAAACGCTGCAATTAGTTGTAGGAACAGCTGACATTAAACACTTAAAGTGGCCTAAATAGATCAGGAGATGCCCTTCTCTCTTTATGACATAAACGTTGCAGATAAAAATGTTTTTAAGCACATTTAAACCTCTGAGTCCCCTGCATGGAATACTGAAGCTGGTTTGTTGCAGGATCTGTGTTTAACAGCTGAAAGATGAACTCTTGCAGCACATCTGATCACAGCAGTTTAACAGGTTTTCTGCAGGGATGAGCACACAAATGTTTTCAGAGGGCAGGAACGTTTACGACAAACGGCTTCTTCGGTTAAACAAAATGCGATGCACAGTCAGAAGGACCACTTCCTGACGACTGCTTTCTACCCACATGGAAGCTAAATTCTCACCACAGATACGTGTGACCAGATGTTTGTCCACACCACACCAGTGAAACAGGTCTGGTGAGACTCGGCTGATTAATCAAAATGGGAACAAGGCCTGTTTTGATGATAGCAAAGCACTCATCTTTTCACGCTTAAATATAACAATCCATGACTTGATTCTGAAAAGCAAAGATTCAAAATTATTTTGCAACGATGCACCGATCAACTGGCCAGAGTTTGGAACCGGCCAATATTTTCTCAATCATTTCTGATCAGTTGTTGGGTTAGTGGCAATCTTTCAAGTGATTAAAAGTATCTCAAAACTCATATTTTCAGGATATAAACATTATATTACACCATTCTATAACAGTGTACTAAACTATCAGCAGTATAAGCATTAGCAGTGTTTCCATTCATTGCGCAGTTTGACATTTTGAAACTAAATTTGCTTACTGGAAACACGTTTATTGAAAAAACTAACTCTCTTTTTGATCAAATGTTTTGGTGCAAGGATGAGGTGTGGGTGGGGAGGGAGAGGAGCACTGGCCATATCAAAATATGATTATTTCACAAAACTGAAATGGAAATTTTTTTTTCCACATCACATGAGTCACATGATCAATAACTGGATGTTACTACTGACGCAAACCATGCAGAAAAAGATGACAGAAAGTATTTGGATGATGGCCTGTTGTGTTTTAATGACACTTATCACTGAATAAGCTAATTCATGTGTGATTTAAATTGCCTTTCTTATATAACGGAAACACTGCAATTGCGAAATTGTGCCTTTTCGACATTAGCGGAATATAGAGAAAGTTTTGAACACATTTGTCATGGAAGCGCATTTTTTCCTGATGATTAAAAATGAAATAAATGGCTCATATGCTTGGCTGCAGTTTCTTCATTTTTAATTGGATCCCCAGCTACTAACTTAATCAAGATTCCTGGAGCAGTTTCCTATTTTTATGTGCCTTCATAAACCAAATACAACCACTTTAAATCTGAATCTGCTGCTTAGATCAGCTGGACAATTGGAAATCTGTTTCAGCAAAGGAAAACCTTCCTGGTGCCTCTAATGTTTGGTCAAGGAAAAGTTCAAACCAAAAACTTTCTTGGAGAGAGAATGGATTGAGAATTTGTTTTGGAAGTGAACAACTGAGCCTGTGGAACAATGGGACAGAGGAAACATGTTGCTTTTACAGTGAAACATTCCTGAAAGCGTTGGAATGTCACTTTAAGGTCCACAGTCTCAAATGACAGTCAGATAATCTGTTAACACTGTGTAATACCACGGTTATTAATACAGAAAAGACACGAAGACACAGGACAGCATGTTGAGGAGCCGTCACAGAAACCGGGTCAGCAGACACACACCGTTATACAGTCTGCGTGCGTGCGTGTGTGTGTGTGTGTGTGTCCGTGCGTGTGTGTGTGTGTGTGTGTGTGTGTGTGTGTGTGTGTGTGTGTGTGTGTGTGTGTGTGTGGGGTCTGCGGTGGGGATGTACGCACCTTGCCGCTCAGGTCGTTTTTGTGCCGCGCGGTGCCGCTCCGTCTCAGCTTGATGGACGGGGAGCGCAGCAGGTTCTTGATGCGCGTGCGGATCGTTCCGCTTCCCTCCGCGGACATCTCGACGTTAGCTGCCGGCTAGTCGAGCCTGTCAGCGCCGGGCAGCTCTCACGTAGCTCACGGTCAAGCGTGAATCGCCCTATGCTCTGCACCAGCGTCCGCTGGCGCGGTCATCTTGTCTGGAGTCCGAGGTGGGCCAGAGCCTTTCAGAGAGCCTGAGCCTGGTTCGGTTGAAGTTCATTCGGTCCGAATTGCGCTCACCATATTAGCCTGTTTGTCTCCTGCTGCAGTAGAAGGTAAATCCAGTCAGGCTGGAGCGAGACGAGCCACTCTCCGACAGCGTTAAGTTCGCAAGCGGCACGTGCAACCTGCTTCCGGTAGCGCTTTTCACGATAAGATGACCAACGTACGCTCTGGAGGTCAAACGGTTTACAGTTAGAATTTTGTTTGGGTTTAAATGTTTCTTTTCTTTTTTTTTTCAAACGCAAAACAAAACAACAAAAAATAAACCCATCGAATTGCACATCCTGGTTGAACTTTGTTAACAATCAATAAGACTTTTATTGCGTTGTGATAAATCAGTTTTGTTCTTTCTGTAACATCTCAGTGTTGCTTTGACAACACAGTCATATTCAGTAAATTAGTGTACAAGTACAGATTAAAAAGTGCCTGTTGAAAATAGCAACTTTTCGTTAAGCCCACATTTCTGGTTTTGAAAATAACCTATTTATTGGGCTGATGTTAAATTATAATTTTTAAATGTGATGTTTTTATTCATTATAAGTGGAAAATAAAAAAATAATTCACAGTAATAAAGACTTTCAGGCATCAATCGCTGTGTAATTAATGTGTTTAATGTTTTTCTCTTAGTGATAAAGTATTTAAAATAAAGTAGGCTTTTCAATATTTTCTAATTTATTGAACGGGTATGTATTTGCTGAGAAATACTAGAACATGCTGTAGGGAGGAATCATGGAGATGGTTTGTTAGGACAAACTGGAATATTAGGAATACATTTTGTTTATTTGAGTGATAAATCTTCTTCACACTCCAGGGTTATTTGTGGAGTACCACAAGGTTCTGTTCTTGGCCCAAATCTCTTTACCATATATAACTATTGGTGAAATGATCGGAGCACTGTAATGCTGATGATATTCAATTATATTTCTTGATAAATATAATTTCCTTTTGTCTTCTTCGTGGTTTCCATCAGTGGTAACATCTGGTTGTTGATCACAAGTGTGATGCCAATAAAAGTGCTTCCATTGCAACTTTGCAAAATACAATCATTTCAGGGCAGCCAAAAAAACACCTCATCCAAGTGCAAAGACGTTTTATCAATAAGCATTTTTCTCTAAATTTGTTTCCATTAACCAAATGTTTTTTGTGAATTCACCCTGGGCAATTAGATGGTCAATAAAAACGCAGCTAATAACATTTTGGCTGTAAGCCGAATAAGCTCTTTTTAAATAATTAATCTGAATCTGATGATTTTGTCCAGGACGGAAGGTGGGGCAGCATCACGCAACAGGGATGGGGCAGCAGGGAAGGGGCAGCAGGGACGGGGCAACTGGTCAGAGTTAATTGGAAGATGACAAAAGTTAAATACAGAAGAAAACCTGTTGGAATCTGCAGAAGACTAAATATTGTTGTAGAGGTTTACCTTCCCGCAGGACAACAACCCTAAATATCCACTTAAATGAAAGCCAATTAATGTGATAAGAATGGTCTACTCCAAGTCCAGAGAAAGACCCAAAGGCTTCAAACCAGAATTTCTCAGTGGAGCTGAATAAATGGATGCAACTTTATGTTAGATACACAAATTTAAGATGTTTTAAGGATGTGCTAAATGTTACTCCATCCAACTATCATCCCGTTTTCACTCTGCAGATTGCAGCCAAAAACACAAGTTTAAAAAAAAATCTTTATTAATATTAAAGTGTTAAACAAGAAACATCATCTACTTCAAAAGTTTTTACCACAAATAAAAATAAATTCCAAACTTAGGCGACACAAGGCAGAACTCTTAAAGAACAACAATTTGCACTTATTTACACTTCCAAACAAAGAAACCAAATCTGAACCGTTTTACTCCGGAGACGTTCGCCAGAATCATCCCAGGCGGTTTCAGGAGAAGCTCGACATGAAGAGTCGGTCAGCGTGGAGCAAGTCAATACTGCATGTCAACAAATCTCTGACTGGAAGTAGAAGTCGAAACTTTAGCAGCAAACAATATTTAGGAGAAAGTGGAAGTTTTATTATTTTACACCAAACTTTATCGTGCCAAATTTAAAAAAAAAAAAAAATATTCTTCATTGGAAATTAACTTATATTCTCTCAGATATGATAACTATGGAGTGGAAGTTGGTAATAACTTGGTTTGAGTTTTCTTTTAAATGAGAGTCTGCAGTCCAGTGACTGTGAATCAGTCCAGGTCTCTGCTGTCTGATTTTGAAGCCTCCATCTTCTTCCTTCACCACCTTCACCTGTCATTCTGCTAACGAAGGCCGTGGCTGGTTATGCTGAGACTTTCTTGGGTGGCAATATCTGCACGACAAAAGCTTGTTGAATAGTTCATCTGGATTTCTCTGTCTATCAAAGGATGAAAACCAATATCAGCGGATCGGCTCCTCTCTGCTCTGCTCCAGGGCGGCTGACGTCATCTCAGTCCGCAAAGTCTAAAGCAGAGAAGTTGCAGCTTTATCACAGAACTCGGCAGTTGTGAAAGCGCAAACAGAAAAATCAGAGCTGTGTTGAATAAATCCGTCTGATTCGGGAGCAGAAAGAAAACCCGTTCCTAGTCATTCCTGGTTGTTGCCAGGGTGACGTAAAGTCAGCTGGGGGAGTTTCCTCTCAACCCCAGAGGAACCAGCCTTGGCATGGGTCTCCAGGCCACGCCCCCGGCCCCTCCCACTGTTGCTCCATTATTACTGCCTAGTCCCGCCTCTTTGCCTCCTCCCACCTTCATGTGCAGCAGAGGGGGCGGGGCCAGGACACCTTCGTTAGCATTCCCCAAAATTGGCCCTGGATGCTCGGAGGTACGCTTCTGTTCCTCGGATCCGCCCGCAACTGGCGGATCAATAACCGCTGTTGTAGCCGTGGCAACTGTCTGCTGGTTAAGAAAAACTATTTCGTTAAGGAGGGACGACAGGCTCTCGTTGTCCGATTCCTGTCGGGCTGTCTGTCCAGCAGGATCAGACTGTCTGACGTCTAAGGGAGGGTAAGCAAGACCAGGGGGCGGGACCGGAGCACGAGGGGGTGGAGCTGCACCCTGAGGGGGCAGAACCAGCGCCTGAGGAGGCGGGGCCATCCCCGGGAGGGAGACTCCCATCTGGCTGGGTTCAGCAGACATCAGCAGAAATGCAGGTGGAGCTGCAGCCAGCAGTGGCTGAAGCTCTCGAGTTCGGTGCAGTGTACTTCCTGGAGGAGCGGTAAACAGCACTTTGTCCCTGGGTGGTGCTGTGGACAAACACAATAATCAGCAGCTGGAAACTAGAAGTTTTACAGTAGACAAAAGTAACAGTTTAGTTCCATTTTGGAAAGTTAGTCAAAACAAAATTTTAAAAAAATTAAAGAAAGTGAAATGTTGTAACATGGCAAGAACTGACTGGAGATTTGGTTTGATGTATTTCAATTCTGATTACCCAAATTCACTCCGATTGGCTTCGACATCCTGTCATGTTTCACATTGCTTGCTCAGCATGTACAGTAGCTGAAATGCGCCTTTTATTTGTTCACGTTAAAAACCTTCAAACATTTTTGGTGTGTTGTTATTCCCATTTACCTTTCCCCCTTTTTTTACATTGGAGTTATGCGCACTACATTCCACCTCATTTCGATAAGCTATGCATCATTTTCCCTCTGCATCAATAATGTATGGTGTGTGTAACCTCTAAAGTCTCATTGAAGCTTGCACCAAATAAAAATGATATATTAAATATTCTACAACTACTTCCTACCATCTTTGTCGTTTCCACCAGTAGTAACATCCGGCTGTTGATGACTCGTGATGGGAAAATAATGTTTCCATTGCAGTTTTGCAAAATACATCTACGTCTGTACGGCAGAAAAACCACTTCATCCTGACCCTAAAGCTTTTGTCCAAAAAGTTGAGTTTTTTACATCATTATTGTTTTTTGTATCATTATGTTTCAATCAGGTGGCTATATTTTCTTCATTTAAAATTTTGCTATTTTACCATTCATGGAAACGGAGCTACATCCATCCGTCTTCCTGACCAAGTTCAGCGGTGTTTATCTACGCGTTACGTTGGCGGTGCTGCCTTACCCTTCACAGCTGACGTTTTCTGAGGCAGCTCTCGGTTCCTGCTGCGAGACAGGATGTTTGGAACGGTCTTTATCCGTTTTGTGTCTGGAGGAGCAGGCGCGCCCGCGGACACATGCAGGACGGGCTGACGGAGAGGTTGCAGCTGGACGGCAGGGGGCGGGACCTGCAGGGGGCCAATGTCTCCTGTAGGAACGGTTACACAGAGAGCGCCCTCCGCTGGGACGTCATTGGCTGTGTGTTGCCTCCCCTCCATCTCTGGCTGCTTTTGATTGGTCAGCAGGTGCTGCAGCGTCTCCGTCTCTGCAGCCACAAACACAAGAGATTCGAGAAAACTACCAAACATGTAACATGTCACATTTATCTGACATGTTTCCATAATAAAGAACATATTTCCAAGTGATTTATGGAGGTTTTTGCTCCCAACATCTAAAATGTTCTGCCTTTACAAAGTAAATGTGTGGAAAATGACAACTACCACAGAGGATTTTTCTAATCTGCCTTCTTTTTGCAATTTGCAGGACTAAACGTTCTCTGAACCACATCATCCAGTGGAGAGCTTACATTAGTAAATACCTCACTGATGGCATGACAGACAAACTGATCCATAAATATTTACACTTCTTCTCCTCCACAGTTTACCCATCCAGAGTTTAAAAGTATCTATCCGTGAGTCCTGGCCGTCAGGCAGCTTCTGGTTCTGTTCTTTACTGGTTTTATAAATGAACCAGTTTGGTTTTCCAGAACCGTGCTACAGGATCACAGTGAACCGAGACAGTTTGATGACAGAAATCTGATGAAAGACTCCAGTGGCCCTGCACACCAAGGCTTCTAGTGTGTTTTTACTGATTCAATTAAGCAGATCAAAAACCAAAATCGAGTCAGAAACTTCAAACATTTTGATTGGCTGCCGCCAGCTCTTACTCTATGACCCGGTTCAGAGCTGGATTCAGTTGACCAGCCCCAGAGGTTGCAGCAATGGGAAAAGAAAGAATTGTTGCAAAGCAATCGTGAGCAGAAATTAAAACACTGAAACTATTTTAGTGAAGAAAAGCAAAAAAAAATCTTTGACTGGCCCAACTCCCAGATTCAGTAAATGTCACTCGCTTACAGAGGAGCCAAGCAGAAACTCCTCAACAGACATTCACAGCTTTTCGTCAGACATAACTCACATGTGGTGCCTTATTATCTTAAATATCTAAATGCCGTTCATATCAAACATAACTTAAGAAATTTGACTTTGTAATTTGAAGTCTTGAAATTGGTCCTCTGTCTCTTTAAGAAGTTCCTCCTTTTTTCGACATTTCTCCTTCAGCATGACATCATAACACAATTCCATTATGTCACCTACAATCATTGTTAGGAGGGTTGCACTGGGAAGTCGGTCGCATTATGAGCTCAGCTGACATGGCTGAGCATAAAAGGTGTTTGCTAATTAATTCTGGCTAGTCTGGAGGAGCTGGGTGGAGGAGGGCAGCTCTGTGAAGCAGAAACTTGGAGACTGCATCTCAGAGGAGGAGCTTTATGTTTATTTATTTATTTTACATCATATTTACAATTCTTAATTGGACTTTCTAAACCTTTTGAAAGTTTATTTTACATGTTTGACTAAGGTAGTCAACCTATTGTTTTAGTCATTTTCAGTTTCTTTATTTTTTATTTTCCATGTACTGGTGCAGTGTTAGCACATTAGTCAGTGATTCAGTACATTTATGTCTGTGTTTAAAAAACTAATTTTTTTTAAAGTCATTTCAACTGTTTCTCTGTATCGGTACTGGGAGAGAAAAAAGTATATTTGTGGATTCCTAATTAAAATGCTACTGTACAATCAAGCATGTTTGGTGGTCAGGCACAGAGTCTAACTGACTGGAGAGCAAAAAAGTAGCTTGATTTCACAATTTGGAGGTAAAGTGAATGCAGCATGATGTTGAAGTTGTGAAGAAATCAAACTCAATCATTGTTTGTGATTTCCCTGATTCTAATTCATTCCAAGAGGCTCAAGTAAAGTACCGAAAAGTTAGTGTCAGACCTGGTGTGCCGCAGAGGTCCTCAGTGTGTGCATCTTGAATATCTTCCTTCTTCATGCTCCGATTGGACCACAGGCTCTCTGCTTCTGTCAGAAGCTTCTGGACCTCCTGAGGAGCCTAAAACCCACAAACACTCCAAGTTCATTCGGTCCACTTCGAGGTCCACAAAGCAGCTGTCTCATGAGCTCATTTCCAGAAAAAAAAAGAAAAACGTTAAAGCTTTGAGACACAGTGGTCCATGTAGGACCACTCAGACATCTTGCACAAATTGCACATTAATGGATTTCTCAAACATACATGAAAGAATCAAAGCAAAACTCCAGGTATGTTTTTAATGAAAACATAACATTATAACATGACGTAAAGCTAAAAAAAAAGAAAAAAATTTGACTTCGTATAATACTGCCCCTTTAAGAGAATGTAACAGCTTTGTCATTTAGACCCAGCTTGGTTTGGACCTGAAAGCTGCTCCCTGTGTTCACTAGACTTTTTCAGACGATATTAATAATGGAAGTATGAAAAATAGCAAATATATTAGAAATGTGTTTTTATGGTTGAGATGATTCTTCAGGATGTAATGGACCTGCTGGTTTCCCATGGTTACGGTAATACACACCTGACCAATCTGCTTGGATCCTGGAGAGATTGGAGAGTCCACTTCAGCTTCCAAGCTGAAAAACAGAAAATAAAAGCTTACATAGCTGACGCACTCAGATCTTAGAAAGGTTACATATCAGGTATTGAGAACCTGCTGTCAAGCACCAACTAACCCACTCAGTCGGGTTAGTTGGTAGCCCAGTAATGTGGGCTAGGCTTCACTTCTTACTCTGAATTAATAGTCATTTCTATCTGCTGCTGAGCTGCTCCACATCCACTGTTCTCCTCCAGGTTTTCCAAACTACCGCTCCAAGCCTCCTGCTGACCGCTTCCCATCTGGCCATCACCTGATGGTGATATATTTCAGAATTAAACTAATTTACAAAAAAATGTCAAAATTTGGACAGAAACAAAGATGCCTCCCTTTTGGATGAATTTAGAGAATTTATCTGGGGGGATAAACTCTCTAAATTGTCTAAATCAACCCCTGCACCTCCGATAAAAAGTGTTTCAACCTGACGGAGCCAGAATGGACAGGAACTCCTCCCGTCTCTGCTCCAGGCTGCTTTTCTGCCTCTTCAGGTCTTCCTCACAGCACCTCAGCTCCTGGATCAGCTGCACAGCCTACAGTAAAACACACATCGTGATCGTCTGCAGTCCAACACACACAGACACACGCACACAAAGAGGAGGTTAGAGAGCTGATTGCACACCTTTTCCAACAAGGAGGTTCTGGACATGCTGTCATCGGCTGGCAGCACTTCCCTCTTCAACTGGAGGAACATCTGCTTCATCTGGGCTCGATGCTTTCTGCAACTTGCATTGGATTCGTGCTGCTGCACACAAATACACACACAAACACACACAACCATGAGCTTCACAGTCATTAAAAGAAACGTGAAATGTATCAAAGTTCCTGCAGATGGGATTGTTCGTTTCTTTTTTTTGGGAAAGCTGGTTTATTTATTTATCATTTCTATGGCTGCAATTAACAACTATTTTACTAATCAATTATTTTATTGTTTATTCTGACAATTAAATTGGATAAAAAAATAGTAATATAGACAATATTAAAGACACAAACAATTCAATTCATTTCTTAAATAAGAAAACAAACTAAAAGTTGCTTTTAGTTCTGGGTAGAACATATTTACAGAAAAAAGCTTTTTTAAAATTTGAATCGCAAAACATAGATTTTTTGTTCAGTTTTGTTGTTCTTTGAGAAAATGACTTCTTTATAAGAGTCTGTATGCTCCATTTAACAATTAATCAACTATTAAATTAGTTCACAATCATTTCAATTATCAATTCATCATGTTTAATTGTATTAATCGTTTCACCACTAATAGTACCCTCCCTACACCAATATAATGAGACAAAGAAAAAAATCACATTACATACATTAATCATGTTTTTCTTTATTTTGCACAAATAAACTAAATTACAGTATTGTTTACATCTGATGATTGCTTCACTAAAAACAGATGCAACCTGCTGGTCTCCCACGGTTACAGCATTACACACCTGAACCTTAGTCTGGGTCCTTTGAGAATTTCTGGAGTCCACTTCAATTTCCAAGCTGAAAAACAGAAAGTCCCAGATTACACAGGAGTTTAGATCTCAGAAATGTTACATATCAAGTATTGAGAACCTGCTGATGTAACACATCAAGCTGTCCAGCACCTACTAACCCACTAGTTAGCAGTCTGGTTAGCCCACAGTGATGTGGCTTCACTTCTTACCCTGAATTATTGCTCATCTCTTTTTGCTGCTGAGCTGTTCCACATCCACTGTTCCCCTCCAGGTTTCCCAAACTACCGCTCCAAGCCGCCTGCAGACTGGTTCCCAGCTGGCCATCACCTGTCAGCTCTGCAGCTGCAGCTGCAGTGCCCTGCCACACCAAGAAACAGATGAAGTCCAGTCAGCTTTGCAGCTTCAGAACAGCCTGGCATCTGTCTTTATGTGGCTACACACATTTGTTTGTCACAGGAGGATTCTGCGACCATGCAAATATTTTGAACGGAACTTTAGCAACAAGTTGCTTCACTAAATGAATTGAATAATGTGATGTATCTGATTCAATGAAAGCACTATCTGGTAAAGGCATCATGACAAGAAATATAAAAAGACAGCAGAGAGAAAAATATGCGTCTAAAACTAGAAAAATGTACAGAGGCCCAGAAAGAAAATAAAAGAAATAAGAAACAAAGAAAAACCAGTTGTATCAAGGCCTGTTTTTAAGTTTGACCAAATTGTATTTTACTTATAATTTTACAAGTTATCTGCACGTAAAAAAAAAAATTTACAATAATTTTAAGTTTTTTATTTTTTTCTACTAGTAGACATTTTTTATCCTTGCACAAAAATATTGTAACAAATTTGTCTCGCTACCTGTTGTTGTTTGCTGTAGAAATAAACAGAAGTAGAAAATAAATGTAAATTACATTTCCTTGTTTATTCTAGAAAATATCTGAGATTAAGCTAAAAATTTCAGAGTTTATTTTGGGGGGGAAGATTTTTCTCTCTGTCATGTTCCAATACGTCGCCGTACAAGTTTAGTACCGCAAGGGAAAAAAATCCCCAAAATTTAGAACATTTGAATGTAGTATATTTCAAACTAAAGTTGTGGGAGCAAAAATATGGTCACACTAAAAAATGGGTCTTCAAAATATTTTTTCCTAACAAATGTCAAGAAATCAGGTCAATTTTTAAAACATCTGAAAGATCAAGTGAGATTCTGTAAGGCATAGATTATTTTTGTTCTTAATAAAGTTTTCATTAGAAAACTGTTTTTATTCACTCTGGTTCTCTTTGTTATAAAAATTCTTTTGGTGAAACATTTTAGTGTAAAATATAGAAAACATAAGTGGATCTATCAGTTTTATGGAACTTTAATGACACAAAGCATCACAGTTAACAGATGAACTAATTCAAGGTAGAAAGTAGAAGCGTTGTGGAGGTGTGACTGTTTGCAGATAACCTGACATTAGTAACATGTAAACGTGTCTTACATTAGTTACGGTTTTGCTCTTGGGGGTTTCCTCCTCAGATGAGATGTAGATCAGACCCTGGACCTCCGTCCTGGCAGCTGCAGCCTGACCCGCTGTCACAGAACCAGAGAACGCACCCAGAACCGGGTCAGGTCAGCTGCTACGAACACCAACAGACGCCCGCTACCAACAGAGCCGCTCAATGCTTGTGTTTAGATTATTTAAGCAGAAAAATGTTTCCATTTATGCAAAAGCACTTAAACTAAAAAATAAATAATAATATTGCTTCACATTTGGACAAAAATATTTGGTGATTCGTTCACCTTAAAGTTGATATGAAAAGTCTGCACAGTTTGTATGGAAGAAAACAAATATCATTTCAGAACTTTTCCCTCATATGAAACGTAGAACCTGCAGAACTCAGTGGAAACCAAACTGAAATCATTCAGGAGGAAGAAACAGATCAACGCTGCTTGACCTCCCATAACCTCTAATACCTGAGGAGGTGTTCAGAGATCACTTATTCTCAAGAGACTGATGTTTGTCTTTGAGATTTATGATGCTTCTCCTTACTGACATTGGGAAACACTGCGTTCTAAAATGGGTTTCAAGACTTTTTAAGTTGCATGAAAACACTAAAAACTGAGCAACTGAACCAATTCATCAGCTTTGAGACAAATGAAGGACAAAACACTGTCTAAGTATTTGTGCCTCTGTTCACTTTGGAATTTCTCAGATGAGATATTTTTCACAAAACTAATTTTGCTGCCATGTTCATATGGCTTAAAGTTAAAAGAAAATCGGAAACATTTTTTATTTATCACTGCAACCTTTTTTGCACGGAAACATTAAAGAGACACAACTGCCATAAAGGTCCTATTAGACCCCTCAGTTTGATTGAAATGATATAATCTACAGTAGTAAAGCTGTTTTTAGACTCTGATTCCTGGGTAATAAAATGTGTGTTCAGACCTGCTGATGGAGGCAGAACTGACTGGTTTCCATCACAACTCCTCAGCTGTTTTATCTTCTTCTCCGGGTCTTCTTTAGAGCACTTTGAATTCTGCAGAAAAATACATGCTGTGATCGTCACCAGAGCAAAAAATAAACAAATAAACAAATTCCATACATAACCAGCTGGTTTGTGAAAATAAAAAATAAATACAGTTACGAAAATAAATACTCCTTCGTTGGTTTGAGACGCGTTTCCTGACAACCGCTTCAACAACTGCAGGGGGTCTTTTCATTCTAAATCTAAAAACTGTTTTTTTTTTTTTTTTTTAATTCACTAATTAGTTCACACAAAACAAGCAAACATGACTCTGTATTAATGCTAGCTGTGCTAATCCGGAAAATTGCAAGTATCAAGTCCTACAGCTGCAGTACGCAACTTTTACAGAAATGTTTTTTCTCGTGTTTGTTAAAACTGTCACCATGTTGTGACAGTTTGTGATGAGTCAGGAAATCTGTGAAAATAATGCTGTAAATATTACTGTAATAATGTGATTACTGCAGAGCTGTGGAGCACCTACTGCTCTCCGTCACAGATACTCACCTCCGGTCCTACAATACATAGATCAACCATATCATCAGTCAAATATATTCTCATACACTATGTCAATTAATTTTTTGAAGGGGAAAAAAATTAATCTGATATGGCACATTTATATGATGATTGGACAAAAGAATTAAGTTAATAAATATAGTTTTCAATGTTCTTATTCTTAACACTTAAAAATAAAGACGGTGAAATTACCATCACAGAAAGGAAATCGATAACAAAACCTTTGATCAGTGCATCACAGCTTTTCTTTTTTAAAAACCAGAATCTAAATCTATTCATCAGAGAATGATGACTGTCCCTGCTGACCAGCTTGTTCCTGACCAATTCATCCATCTGGGGGCAAATTTAAATCATGTTCTCTGAACTAATAAGAAACTCAGGTTGTTTTAATGAGAGAAAAAAAAATTCAAACTGAAAACATTGCACTGGTCTGCAATCACCTGTTTCTTCTCGTCCTCGCTGTCACACTCGCTGAAGTCGGACGAGTTATCCGTCTCGCTGCTGGACACCAAGTCCACCACTTCGTCCACAAACACGACATTCAGGTCCATGGGGTCAAAGGCAAACTCCTCCTTAGTGCCCTGACAGTCCGGAGAGGGCTCGGGCGGGGGGGACCGCGCCGGAGGTGAAGGCCCCCTGTGAGAGGCCGTCTGGACGGTCGGCAGGGTTTGTGGCGAATCGCCGTGGCGGTCGAGTGGAGTGTCGTTTTTTTCACACACGACGGGATTCGAGGGGGTGTAGTTCACAGATTGGCTGGGGCCCTGGAGTCGTAGGAGGCCAGGTTCTGATCCCACCGTTTGGGTGGGGGGCAGGAGAGGGAGTTGGATAAAGATGGGGTCCTTGACCGGGTGCGGGGGGACGATTCTAAACGTGCAGGTGTTCTGCGGGGACAGAAAAACGGATGGTGGCAGAGGGGGGTTGGAGGAGGAAGACGAAGCTTGTGGAGACGGTGAAGGTAAAACCACAGAAGATGAAGAAGACAGGTTGGTCAGAGCTGGCCTCTTCACCGCGGCTACAGGAGGCAGCTGGGCGCAGGAAGCAGAACGGCCTGAGGAGGAAGAGGAGATGGGAAAAACTTAATTGGGCTAAAAAATATTACTTCACAGAGAAATCTTATTCCAGAAGCATCTCAGTTACCATGAAAATTAGCCATCTTGTTCACATTTCCTTTCATTAACAGAAAAGTGTCCAGACTGAATCTGGTACGGTTTGGGTTGAGGATGAAAACAACTTATTTACCGAGCCAAATAATCAACGGACTTAACTGGATCTGATCAGATCTTTATTAATATAATATCCCATACCAATATTTGAAACAATATTTTGACAGTATTCAGCCCCATCAGGATTTCAACACTTACCTCCTCCATGTACGGTTGCTGATGGAGTGCCAGGCCTCGGAAGGCTAGAGGTAATCAGCTGGACCAAGGCTCCGTCAGGTTTTCGGTAATACTGGACACCCGCTGATGACCGGACTGGCTTCAGAACCATCCTTTGGCCTGGGAACTGAGTGATCCGGGGCTGGAGCAAATTAACCACTTTAGGAGGATTTGGAAGCTGAATCAGCAGCGGCTGGGGGTCCGGAGGTGTTGTCGCACTCTGAGGTGGGTTTGGAGGTCCAACAACCAAGTTTTGTTCCTCAGAGTCTAGATGTACAATAAACAACAGACGGCTGATTAAAGATTTGGAAAAGACAAAGTTATTTTCTCAGTAGGTGGGCAACGTGTCGACTGGAGACCCTCCTGCCTTGAAGGGAGATTTCTGTCGGACGGTTGTCACCTTGATTTATTTTTTAAAAGTTTAATATTCTTATATTAATTACCTGTTCATTGTAGTATTTGTAACTTTCAGGGCCCTACATGAAAAAGCTCCTCTCCACTTTACTGAATTGTTAAAACTCCATGGTCTAGCTGGGTTTAGGTGGTCTGACCTCTGCTCTGTCCTCACGTCTGGACCTGCTCTATGGAACCGGTTTCCTCTGATTTCACATTGTTGAAGCTGAAGACATTCAAACAAGCTTTTTCTAAAGATCCTAACAAATATTGACTTATTTATCATCATCTAACGTGTATCATTAGATTTGCTCCTTGTCTTTTTTACGTAATGCTTCAGTTCAATCATGTTTATACATTCTTTCATTGTCTCCATTAGAAATATACAAAGTGAAAATGTTTTGAAAACTGTCAGACTTCCTTCACATATTTATTTAATAAGCAGTTTTGAATGTATTCAACTCAAAATGCATGTCTTATTTCAGATTTTTTTTTCAATTTATAACTGATAATATGTGCATTTCAAAATACAATAACCCTATTTGTTCCTATATAAGCAAGTAAGACAAAAAAAAATCCTTAAAGATGTGAGGGGCATTTTTAAGCATTTCTTTATGACTTATTTTATTTGAATAAAGCTAAAATGACTACAGATGTCTTAGATGCCATTAAAATTTGCATTTCAGTCAAAACACTGATTAAAACTAAATTAAAGGTAAAGTTAAACATAATGCTGAAAGTCATTGCGTATACAAACAACCTATTGAAAGAGGAGAGAACATTGATTTAAAGTTAATAGTTGTTGCAAACATAATCCAACACCAGCATCTTCTTCTGCACCGAGTGATGTTAACCCTACTGAGCTGAACTGCACTAATATTACACCCTATTAATACCCTATAATGATATTTTGACAGAATTCAACAAATCCTCGTCGTGTTTCAACACTCACTTCCTCCATGAACGGTTGCTGATGGATTACCAGGCCTCAGCTGGCTGGTGGGAATCAGCTGGACCAAGGCGCCGTCAGGTTTTCGGTAATACTGGACACCCGCTGATGACCGCACGGGCTTCAGGACCATCTTTTGAACTGGGAACTGAGTGATCCGGGGCGGGAGCAAAGGAGCAGCCACATTAGGAGGATTTGGAACCTGAATCAGCAGTGGCTGAGGAGGGGTTGAGTTCTGAGGTGGGTTTGGAGGTCCAACAACCAAGTTCTGTGGTTCAGAGTCTAGACGTACATGACATAACATTCAAAGGTTTAGAAAACACACCACAATTCTTAGAAATCCACGTTTAAGAAATTTTTATATTTGAATTTTGTTAGTGAAAACTTTTAATAACCTGATCAAAGCTGAATGGGAAAGAGTTTGGAGTGAAGATGCAATAGTATTAACATTTCTGGCTGTAATTTCTGTCTGTAAATTTTTCAGTTAGAATATTATTTAATACATTAATTTTGCAACTATTATTAGTAATATAAGTAGTAGTAATAGCACTATTTATAATTTCATTATCCAATTATGCTTATTTGCAGTGCAGTGTGTGGTATACATAGTTAGCTTTAGCATTAGCTACTAGCAGTTGCTGCACTGGGTGTGTGAGAGGACAGGACGGTCGTCAACAAGCCGTCCTCTTGATAGCCTGCAGCTGGATTTATCGTGTCTGAAATGATGTGATTTGGACATAATAAAGACACGAGTTTAAAATATTAGGGTAGAAAAACAACATTTTTCTATTAGTATAAAGCAGAACCATTCTGAGCAAATGCATAAAACTCTACTGTTCATAATGTAATTTATGGGTGACTCCAGAGTTTCTAGGCTTTAGCTGCTTGAAATTTTAATAATTTAATATTTAGTTTCAGTCCTTTACAATGTTATATTGCCCTAAAAAATACACAAGTCTGTATAGATGTACATTTATTCTTTCTACAATGACATTGGAAAGACTGTCTGAATATGCACTTTCTAAAGCTACATATACTGTATGTCCTTACCTGCAGAAGGGGTGGGAAGAGGCGTGGGAAGAGTAGGCTGAGTTCCTGGTGGCTGTGACTGGACCACGGCTGGGGCAACAGTGGAGGCTGCAGGAGCAGGTGGGACACAGTGAGATGAAGAGGTGACGTGGGGGAAACTCTGAAGATTGCAAGACGACTCGGACGATGAAGAAGACTGTCGCTGCTTCGTAGACCCCACTCTTCCTGTTAGATAAGCTGCCAGGCGATTGGCTGGATGAAGCGCCCCCATCCTGCCCAACTTGATCTTTGCTAAAGGGTATTGCTTCCCATTGACCTGCAGGAGCACAGAAAACAAGAGAATACAGAGTAACACACTAGAAATCTGCTTCTATACCACCAGAAAGAAAAAAGAAAAAAACAGAAGCTTTCTCCGCAGTGTCATTTGTGCTTATATCAGTCTGAGATGGACCTCAGACTGATATAAACAGCAATGTGACAATATCCCCCCCATCAGCCAAGCTGCATGATAGAACAACCAAAAGGTTCCGACAGAGATCATTCTTCAGATCAACCTTTGACACATTGTGACTGTTTTGTTAATATAGTGCGAGTTAGCTAGAAAAGATAAAGCCATGAAGTGAAGTCCTGACAAGACCTATTAGAAAACCACGTTGCAGGGTAACCAGAACCAGGAATGTCACTGAGTATAAAGGCAGAAGATACAAAGTGATGAGCTTTTACCTGTATCACGTCTCCTGATCCTCCTGGCTTTTTCTTATTGGCTGAGAGAAAGCCAGAAGGTGATACTCCCGCTAATAAAGGCAGAGACATGCCAGTCCTCCTCTTCTTATCTGAATTTATCCCTTCTGTGCTTCTTTTCAGCTCATGTCTAGCCTTATGACGTCTGAAGCCTTCTCCATCCTTCTCCATATACTCTTCCCTTTCTTCTTTCTGGCAGTCATCTATAGACTCCACCTTCTTTTGGAAGTCCTTTACAGACTGTGCCTTCTTTTGCAAGTCCTTTACAGACTGTGCCTTCTTTTGGAAGTCCTTCGTAGACTCCACCTCTTTTTGAAACCCCTTTATGGACTCCACCTCCTTTAGAGGATTCTTCGTAGGTGTCACCTTCTGAAAGTCTTCTATGACCTCCACTTCCACCTTTAACTTCTTCTGCCTGTTTTTCATAAGCTCCTTCTTCACCATCACCTCCATCTGGCAGTCCTCCATGAGCTCTTGCTCCTCCTCCTTCATCACTTTCTTCTGCCATTCCTCTATGGGCTCCTCCTCCATCACCTCCTTCTGCCAGTCTTCTACACACTCTACGGACACAGAGTCTGTGGAAGACTGATTCATCACATTCTTTGAGCTTTTAGGAGGATTCTCATTGTTTGGAATCAAATCAGAGTGGTTCTCCTAAAAGACAAAACATGTTGGGTAAGGTCCAGGACACAATATGACAGGGAAATCAAATGATTCCCTGTTTAACTAAAACTACAATGAGGGAAAAAAAAGCATGCATCACACGTCACCAGAAATCACTACAAAATGGAAGAACAGTCACTTCTGAGCGGCAAACAGTTTGAAGTTACAAACTGGAAAATTCAGTTTCTCTTAATAAAAAAATTCAACCCTTTTCCATCTCTGCATGGACGTTGAAGTGTCCTGGAAGTGACTCAGATGGCTGGAAATATTGATGATGAAGTTAATGATTGCAACATATTTTAACATTTGGAAACTAATTTTGTATTATATCCGCATGGGAAAAACTGATTCAGTGGGATCTCCCAACACAAGCCACTGAATCAGGCTGAGGTCTGGACTTAAACTAGGTCATTGCATTGCCAGTTTGAGATCACTGACCAGTCGTTGACTCAGTTTGGACAAGGACTGATGAACAGATGGCTTTATGTTTGACTCTAAAATACCTTGGCTTACAGAGAAGTTTATGGTCTATTTAATGACTATAAGGGGCCAAGGTTTTGTAATGCCACACAAGCCTACATCATAACTCTTCCACAGCTGTGCTTGACATCTACATGATGTGTTTGGGCTAAAAAGTCCCTGTTTGTTGTTTCCACCGTACAAGGAATGGAGAATAGAGCTAAATTATTATAACAATAATTTATTGTTATTATGTTTTTAATAATAACAATAAATTATTGTTATTATTCAAAACAAGTTTTTGTCTTGCTGAAAACTGTGAGTCATTGTGACACCAATAAATTCCCATTAATGATTTTTGAAAAATGCAAAAAATTAGCGGTATTATCAAGATTGCTATTTCTAAGATCTTTTTCAAGTTGACATATAAGATTCTGTTGTTTTCAAATAGCATTCCAGATGTGGACCAACATTTAACTTGTTCTTCACCTGTCTGTGTTGAGCTGCTGATTTGAAGCCTCGTTTCCTTCCATGAGTCACTGGTTTTTTGGCTGGTGCCTTTTTTCTGTCCAGAATGGGTGTGGAGATCTGGACCTTATACTCGATGCACCTGTTTCCGCTAGTTTCATCCACTGTCTCGTCGATCGGAGTGATGAGATAGTTTTTGATCCAGAAAGGTCTGTCCAGTTGATCCTGAGCCATCGCCTCACACAGCTTCTTCAACACGTAGCTGCGGTCGCTATCGCTCACCCACTTGCAGTCGGCCAGGATCATGAGGCGTTTCGACGGTGTAGAACAGAGGGCTTCTGAGGAATTCGGAGGGCTAGCGCTGGGTGATTCGCCTGCATCTGCTGATGAAGAACGAGAAAGGCTCTCGATTACGCTCAGGACATAAATGAGAAAATACAACTAGCACTAAAAACTGATGGAAAAACATCCACCATGATAGGTTGGTCATGAACTTACCAGAAGGAGGTCTGGCTGTGCTAACATTAGTTTGTGTAGGGGTTTGTTCTCCATGTTTGTGGACTTTCAGTCCTGCATCTTTATGCCTGGATGAAATCAGCTTTTTGGATTCTTCCTCCTGTTGGGTAAATATTGGACTACAAGTCATGTGATCCAGGAATGGGTCAAGAGCAATTCAAATATGGATCTCTCTTTTTGGTGCAAAAGGTTATATCCTTACAGAATTCTAGTGTATAAAAACAATTCCAAAACACATGCTCCTCATCTTCTTCACTACCGATGTGGTTCACAAAATTAAGTTTAGTCTCAAGCTTTAGGGCTGGTGGCCCCCACCACTGATCTGGGCATCATTACCTTCTGCGTCTTCCTGATGAAACCTCGAACTCTGGCACAGCTGCTGCGATATTTTCTTCTCACCTGGACAGACTTTAAATAAAAAAAATCACAGCTTTCACTTAAGCCAATATCTGCCCCCTTTACTGGTATTGTGCAGGTATCAATACTGTAAAGAATAATTACAGGTGGCTGAAGAAAGGTGGCCATATCCGGCACATGGACTGGCTCTGGATCAGAGGCGTCAGCGTTCTTCCTCCACAGGGTCCGGACCCGCTCCGCAGGGTGGGTCACGGTCTCGGCCTCTTTCAGGACTGCAAGTTCAACAGGTTGGACGGAATATGCTTACACCTTGTCCACAACAAGCTGCTTCTACTTAAAATATTTTTATTCTGGTTAAACAATGAAGGCAGAATTAAAAAATGTACCATAGGCCATCTTCATCATCCTTCTCCTCTTCTTCTTGAGTTTGCATTGCAGGGAGGAGGGGCTGTAGTCAGAGCTGTCCAGGTTCTTGAGCAGAACCACCTTCTGCTTAAGGCAGCTGCAGCCGAACATGCAGAGCGGCCGGCCGCAGTGGCTGATCCTGGAACAGTGAGACAAACTGGAGCAGACGCACCCCAGCCTGCAGAACTCGTTCAGACAGTTCAGAGCTTGTCTCTGCCTTAGCTTGATTGGTGCCGTCGGGTTTTCTCTCACAAAACCCTGAGTGGGGAATGGAAAAGAGTCAGCAGGGCCGACCGGACGGTACCTTACACTGCAGCTAGAAGCATACTTTTTCATGACTGCACACAATCTACAGAACAGATCAGAAAGATTTTTACAGGGATGTTTATAAACTCTCACTTAGAATGGATTGGTCCCACTAATCAATGTATTCCACGTTTTAACCCTTTCCTGCCTCAATTTATCTCAAATTAGATAAACTAAATGATTTGAGGTCAAGCTCATTAAAGGAAGTAGAGATTGTTCATTTAAAAGGGGCAGTATTGTGTGTTTTCTAGCCAAATTCTATCATTTTATAGCACTATCAAATAACTATGTCACTTTTGGTTGTTATAAATACGCTGTGTGCATAAAATAGGACTTGAAAGAAATTTGTCTTTGCATTTTAACAAAGTCACCCTCTATTAACCCTTTATCAAAATTTTTACCAGCATTACTCTGAGACGTAGCTTCTATAATGAGCTCAATAGATGCGCTGTTCCATCATGTTTGCTAACTGTTGCTGGCTAGTCTGAAGGAGCTGGGCGGGGCAGTCGCAGGACAGGGCTGCACTGTGAGGCGGAAGCTCAGAAACTGAAGCTCAGAGGAGAAGCCCATTTCTTTCACCTAAATTCTCATTTGCATTTAGATCGAATGTGTTTTCAGGATGAATTTGTGGCATCAGTTTCAAAGATTTAACCTCTCAAAATTATGAAGCAGCATACTCAATCTGCCAGTTTTCATTTGATGTTTGTGGATCAGAGTCAGTCTGAACCACCATATACACCATGGTGTTTTTACTTCAGCTTATCAGAATCTCTTACTGTCCTTTGCCTGACTGATTATTCATTTACACAACATTCTGTTTTAACCAGATGTGAGATCTGTTAAAACTGCAGTACATCATTTTAGTTAAGAAATAAAGTTTTTCACATATTTGTTATATATGTCACTATGTTGTAACAGTATAGCAATCTGTGAAGGACAAAATAACAAGCTCTCCTGCCTTCCCCCAGTCCCAACTAGAGAAATGAAACGCCGAAACAACCAATCACAAACAGGAGGAGGGTCATAGCGCTGTCAATCACACGCATGTATGAACTGATGATACCCCTTACTCTCATCTCTAAAAGAAGATCATAGATCTATCCTGGCAAACAAACAGGAACTCACAGTTTGAGTGAAGAGGGACATCAGAGCGACGCTGGCCCTCTCTGTGGTGATGCTGGTTGGGAAGCGGCCCTCCAGGACCACGCTGTCCTCCAGCTCCTTGATTCTGGCGTAGGCCCGAGTCACCGTGACTCTGCTCTCCTTTCTCTGGCCATCCACAGAGTGATCGGATGGCTGCTTCCTCGCTGAGTCTGGTTTGAGCTCAGAGTCGGACTCCAGCGGAGCCATCTCCTCAGACACATTGAGCGGCGTGGACACACTGAGGGTCTGAGAGGACGCTCTGGGTTTCAGCCTCCTCCTCTTTGTAAATGTTGGCCCGTTCAGAGGTTCTGTGGTGAGAGAACCAGGCACAGAGTTCTGCAACTCCACAGGTACTGGAAAGTCCAAAGCAGCTTTGATTCTGTTTGGTTTGGGACCTCTGGGTTTCCTCTCTGCCCTCCGGCAGGCTGCACTCTCTTTGAGTCGCGATCTCTTCGACGGCGGGATGAACCCAGATATGATGTCCGAGGCTGGCGAGCCGGCTGAGGGCTTCTTCAAGATGTGGTCCAGAGTCCGGACGTAGCTGGTGCTGCTCACAGGGAGCCGGTAGGACGGCGCCTCCACTGGCGGCTGGGAGAAACTGGAAGCGCGCTCATCGATCAGCTTCCCCTCTGACTCCAGATACTCGTCCAGCATGTCGCTGCAGAACGCAGACAGGTTCTTCTTTGGCAGGTCGGCACTGGGACCAGCTGCAGGACACAGAGTGAGACATTTAAAGAGGATTTACAGCAAAAGTTTTCATTTTCTAGTTCAAGTGATATCCGATTCAACATGTGGGAAGGCAAACTGGTGATTGGTACTGTTGAGTGTCTTTTCTTTTTCCCTCCCTTGTTTGTGTTTCTTGTCTGAGCACATATTTATGTGTATATAAATGAGTCGGCATGATCATTTACTCAAAATCAATGAAGAGATATGTATGTATTTCATATAGCGACAGAGATGTGATCAATACTAATAGTTAATATATCTAATAGAATATTCAATAATTTCACTGAACTCTGATCTAGAAGAAGGCAGAGGAGAGGCTGCAGCCACTCAGCCTCTCAGGGTCAGCTAGGCAAGGTGGGTGACATCAACTTAACTCACTCACTCTTTGGTTACCTAGCAACAACCTGTTAAGTAATTTGAGCAGCAGTTTCGGGTGTGTAAAACCTTAGCTGTACATCCCAAAACGCTCACATGTAAGACGACGGGTCCATGAGGAGACCAGTGTCCTCGAGACAGCTAAGACATTGAAACAATTTGGAATGACGCTGTAACAAAAAGACATGTTGTGTCTCTATTTGACAACTTATGCATTACTCTGTGTGTCTGACACACACAAGATCCTCAGGAAATGCATCTGTTTGTAGTTATAAACATGGAAAGGTTCCAAAGTTATGGACACTTCTGCATTGTGCTGTGTTAACTAAGGCTGAGGACATGATGTGAAGCACCTTCAGATCTTGGAGCAGAGGTTGATTCGGCCTCTGACGGGATAAACTTCTCTTTCCAGCCTTTAATCTGGGTCAAATCTGTAGTTTTTCCAGTTCTGGACTGAAATGAAGCAAAAACCCCTAAAGACAAAAGAATAATTGTAAAAAAAAATAAAATAAAAAAAAAAGATTAGATTTTGGATCAGTGGCACATGTTAAGATTTCTAGACATTTTATGTTTAGTTGTGTTTATCTCAAAACATAGAAACTCTTTCAGAATAAAAGCACCAAGTCTGTGAGGATACCTACCCTGACACGTTGGGGTCGTTTGGGTCAGTGGCTCCATAACGACTCCAGAAAGGGGGATGGGAAGAGAGACTCCCAGGTACTGGAGGTCAATGGACAGCGCCGGATCCAGGAGTGTCATCTTAAGACCAACTGAGGCCACAAACATCACCAGACACCAGGAGGAAAGCATTATCTTAGAGCCAATGATAGCTTTAAGTCAACTCACTGGAATCCATTAGGGGTGCATCGATTGTAGTTTTCTGGCCAATCAATAATTTTTAATGATTTGTTGTTTTGTTTTTTTGACCTGCCAATTCCGATTTTGGCCAATACTGTTTTTTTGTTGTTTGTTTCATTTTTTTTGTCTGAAAAGTTGTCAAATACAGTGACAAAGTTAACGAGTTAGCAACACAGTGATGACTGTTGTTAACCATAGATGTGACCTAAAGGGCCATGTCAGTCTTATGGCAGAGCAAAAGAGGACACTGGCTGAGCTAGTGTCCTCTAGCTCAGCCAGTGTCCACTGGCTGAGCTAGTGTCCACTGGCTGACACTAGCCAGTGGACTTAAGATCTTTCCTGGATCTTAAGATCCATGTTTCCTGTGCAAAGATGGATCTTATTTTCCATCTTTGCGCAGGAAAATAAGATCAGTTTCATATGTATCGCCTGAAACCTTGATCACCTAAAATTAAGGAAATCAGATTTATGGACCAGCATATTTATTGGTGCAGTAATGCATACCTTCCTGCAGCACAGGGTGAATGACCTGCCTGTGCTTCATACGCTTCAAGTCTCGAAGAAGAGTCTCCTCATGAACCGTGATTGTCTCCTCCAGACTCTCTGTTGAAATTGTGAAGGTTCATGTGAGACCTGAATTCATCATCATCTCCCCCTGCACACCCTCAGCCCCCAAAGCTGACAAACATCTGATAAGCAGATTCTACAACCAACACAACCTCAACTTCACCAGATGAAAACATTGTTAATCAAACTCGGATGGCTTGATAAAGAATGATGCTTGTTGCGATACCCTTGCTGCTGCTGTCGTCCGCCTCTTCATCGGGTTTGGGGCCGGGGGTCAGCTGAGGGTCAGGGAGCAGCTCTTCAGATGACTCAGCAGTGTGAAGTTTTAGGGCCTCCTGAAACGATAGGAATAGTTTTATTCTTATTCTCAAAATACATCGATGGGAAAACGTTTAAAATGCAGCAAAATTATGAATCCACAAGTTAATAATGACAACGGTGACTATTAAGTCTATAATATACAGTAACAGCAAACATGCACACAAATGATTGGTTGATAAGACTCAGAGTCAATACTACTGAGGTAAACAGAGTTGTAAATAAATGTTTCTGTAGTGACAGATGTTTGGAAACATGACTGCTTGAGGCATTGCTTTTAATCACATGCAGATTTGTTCATTATTAAGACTTCTATTATACTTAACATTTTTATAATAAATTCTGATGTCTTCACTGTAATCCTACAAAACATTCTGGAAGTTATGGAACCATCCATCTGCAGAGTCCAGAGGTGCTACACTCCAGAGTACGCCTGGATTCATAGTGAGATTTGATTGATTGATTGAGTTAGGACAGGGAGATGGATTGATAAAATCAATTCATGGATGGATGTTTCTCCACCTCTAGAAAATAAATCAATCACTTTGTGCAGTAAGTTTATATCACCAGTAAGTCACAGTAAAAACAAAGAATGTTTAGAGAAAGTTTAGGATTTGGTTCATGCTTCCTGACAGTATCCCATGTATTTCACTGGAACAGGAAAAAGAGGGAATTCTCTTCAGTGGATAGTAAAGACGTCCCAGATCAAAACATAAGGCGTCCATCGCACGACTAAAGCTAAAGCCAAAGGATCCATGCGCCACAAACATAAGAATCTGGAACTATCCATATTTAAACATTTTTCCACCAAACATTTAACTTCACTTTACCTTTGATGTGAAAGAGACAAAAAGCTGTTCCTCAACCTCTTCAACTTTGGGCTGTTTACTCCTGTACTCATTCCCAGCCTGAGCCACCTCCAACCTGGCCAGCTTCGTTGACTTCTTTTTCTTGCAGGGCTTGCTGCTTGAGACAGGCAGGGCCGGCACCGAGGGCCGCGCCGGTTCCGAAACTGGCAAAGGTTGGCTGGCGACGGCCGCCGTGTCCGTGTTGGAAAACTCCACCCCAATGTCGTCGTCAGTGGAGAAAAAGTGCACAAGCTCTGAAAGGGAAGTTGTGGGCGACAAGGCGTCTTCGTCCAGTGAAGAGAAGGTTGGAGACAGCGGGAGCTGGAGAGCGAGGGGGGACAGCTCTGCAGGGAAAGGCAGAGACTGTTCACTGTCTTGAAATGATGGAATGGAGTCTTTTGGAGTGGTCTGCGTCGAAGATATAACACTCTGTGGCTCAGGAAGGCAGGACAACAATGGCAAAGTGACCGACATTACAGGAGTCGACTGCTGCTGGGGCTGTAATGTTGTGAAAGACGAGTTTGCATATGTCCCAGACAGAGGTAACACTGTGTGCCATTTAAAGACTGATGAGTTTCTGCAGTGTTGGGGGTCCGGAGTACTCACTGCAGCAGATGTTGCAGAGTCAAGTTCTAAAGCTAAGGAGGCTGGAAGAGGAGGTAAAGGTTCTGGGGAGCTCGCTGGTGACAAAGGGTCAAAGTCGAACGAGGAACACTGAGGGTCCGGAAGCAGAGAGTCGATCTTCAAGGAGCGGGAGCCTGAAGGTAATGAGGAGGACTCTGCTGCTGCTTTGGGGGAGTCCGGGAGAGACAACGCCGTACTGAGATGCAAGGACAAATCGGGTGATCCAGAGGTAGACGATGTGGAGAGGGTGAGTGCAGACATCTCTAGCGAGTCGAATGTATTCTCAGAGTTGGATATCAACGCTTTATGGTCAGGGGCTGTCGACTTTGAGCTTAAACATTCAGAAATTGTGATGAAGGGATCTTTAGCTTTTGGATCTGGAACTGCTGCATCTGAAGCAGTGAAAAGGTCTGGACCGGATGGGCTGGAGGGATTCGTTCCAGCTGCTTGTTCTGTAACATTTAAAAGCTTTTCATCTGGCAGAAGATCGTTTCCTCCAGAGTCCTCCATGATGGGCTTGATGCTGGTGTCCTGTTGAGGCGCTGTGGCAGGACTCAGAGAACCACAGGACTCAGGCAGAGGTGCTTGAGGAGCAGACTCCGGTGTGTTCTTTCCCTTCTTGGATTTTGTTGAATGTTGCTTTAAAAAAAGTGCAAGTGCTGGTAGGGGAAGTCGAGCTGGTCGTTTCTGTTGCTTCACACCATCCGACTCAGCACCTACGTTACATTGTTGGTGTGACTTGTTCAAGGAAATCTCCTCTTCTTTAGGAGCAGCAGAGGAGCAGACTGTTCTGGCATCGGCAATGGAGTTAGACAGATGTTCGCTGTCTTTGATGTTTCTGGTTGTTTCAACAGTTGAACTTTTCCTGGTGAATGTAGTGACAGATCCATTGTTCTTGTGAACAATATTCTGTTTAGTCAGTCTGTCTGTCAAAGCTGTGGATGTAGTGTTGACTTGTGCTGCTCTGGAGGAGTTGCTGTGGTTGGTGCCACGTTGCTCTTTGTGACATCTCTGCAGTGAGACATGAGCCTCGCAAATTAGCTCAGAAATTAACTTCGGAACTGGACGTGAACTGCTGCTGAAGGAAACCAGAGAGAAATGGCACATTAGTGACACTGGCATACTTTGTTGTTAATATTTACCGATACTACTTGGGTCAATTTGCTCAAACTGGCACCGGATAAGTACACTTCTATTTTCTTACACAACTGACGACAAAAAGTGAGGTAAAGAAACATTTAAAAGCATACAGTAGAAAAAAGCACAACTTTAATTGTTTGCTTGGAGACAGTTGAGAATCTAGAATCCCTAGCATTCTAGTTGTTTTGTTTCTGTAATGGCACAGTTCAAAAATATCCAGAATTCATATCTTTATCTTCAACAGTAATAAACCAATCAGTAACTGGACCTAAATCTGCTCATTTCTGGTGGAAGGACGCCGAGCAAAAAGAGGAAGACAGTCTCACAACCCCTAGTACTGTAGCACTCTGTGCTATAAAAATTTTGCATCCGTTTGATATTTGACATCAAGTTTTTTTTCCAGCTCAATTGAAAAGAATTCAATAAAAAGATGAATAGCTGGCTTTGATGGCAATCAACACGTGGAAAAACTGGACCCTCCACCGTTGGCATTAAAAACCTGCAGCTTTTATGATCAACGCTGGTGACAGTCAACTGTTTAAAAAGCAAGTGTGCTGGAGAAAAAACAAAATCAATCAAAAATTGGAACAGACAGGCCACACTTCAAAGAAATACAGAAATTAGTACTGACAGTTATAAAGTAGAGATAAATAATTAACTGTTTACTATCTGTGTGATTAAGTGTGATTAAACTGAACCATAGTGGGTATGAAATGGCTAAAATTTATTACAAAACTTATACACAAAAGAAAATGAATTTGTTTTTCTAAGTTCTTTGAATTTACATTTACTGTAAATTGGTGAATGTAAATTTACCAATTTACATTGAATTAAATACATTGAATTAAATCTATTTCAATATTTCCAGTATGGTGACAATATTGCTAATAAATGTTATTAATGTGCCATAAAAGCAGTCCCAAAAGCTTCCAAATGGAGAGGAGAATCTTTTATATCCCAGCCACCTCCCAGTTTTAGACCAAGCGGCAGACACCCTGTTTACTTTGAAGACAATGCTTAATACTTTCTGTTCTGATAAAACTTAATGTCAGACTTTTTTAGGTTATCCTGACATATCTCTGTAACTATACTGCTATTGGCTAAGGTTCAGAAAGCAGGACTTTTAAATTATCTTCCAATTTTCAAAGTGCGAGGTGTAGGAGGTTTGGTCCTATGGTGTGTGGTGTCCGTATGTGAAATTTCATTCACGGACCTCTCCAGGCCATGTTTGTTCAGAGCAGGGGTGCTCAAGTCCAGTTCTCGAGAGCTACCATCCCGCAACTATCAGATGCATCCCTGCTCCAACACACCTGAATCAAATGAATGACTCGTTACCAGGCCTGTTCATAGCTGAGCCTGGTCTACTGGAGAAAGGCTGCAACTAAAAGTTGCAGGACGGTAGCTCTCGAGGACTGGACTTAAGCACCCCTGGTTCAGAGTAAACAAACATGATCAACAGGAAAGAAGCAATGGCAAAGTTTGATTATTTTTAACAGAAAGAAAAAAACAAAAAACACAAGACTGCACCAACCACCAACAGAATGGAGTTACAAAAATAAATGAACATTACAATAATATTCTTCTTTACTCCGTTATTTATGACTAAATAAAGCTATTGAATATCTATTAACAACGACCTGGTAAACAATAGTACCAAAAAAGGTGAAATGAACATAAGGAAAATAAATGTATTATGCATCAGTTCAAAATACACATTTTAATTTTTCAAACCTACTCATGATACCCTTAACACATCCGACACACATTAATTAACATGAGAAGTAAAAGCTCTTGTGCTAGAATGGCTGATAAATGAACGTACAGGTACCTGCAGTGTTAGTACAAGCTGATGCATTAAGACAAACTGAAAAAAATGTAAAAAAACAAAAACAACAACAAAAAAAAACACTTATTTTAACTCATTATAATTAATGCTGCGTGGATATTAAAATATATGTTTTATAAGCAGGAATGTTTTATTTAAGGATCTTTCATTTAAATTTTAAAACTAGGGTTTACTTTTAAATAGGAGGAATGTAGTGTTATATTTAAAAAATGCAGGTAGGTGATTTAAAGCAATGTTGGGTTGTTTTCACAAAGGTTTAGAGAAAGCGTTTTTGCTGAAAACCAAGGCAACAACGGGACAAATATCAGTGCTTTATTCATAAAATCAACTTCTGCAACAAAGAGGTAATCCAAAATTATCCACAGTTCCATTCTACAGGACGAAGGGTCTTTGGTATGCAATCAGAGGGAGTTTACAAAACACTGAGAACCACCTGATATCAAAGAGTAAACATTTTAGAAAGCCACACTGATCTGCGAGAATCTTTTTTGAGATCAAATTTGCCATTCATGCTACACAAAATACCAGACTCATCTTCTGGGGCTTTGAGTGACTGTGGAAACAGAGACTTCTTGAAGAACGCTGCCTTAATGACATCTTGACTTGGACCTAAAGACTTCTTGCTGTGGCAAAAAAGTATTAAAATATTTTTCACATTGAACTATCAAGACTTACCTGGGACTTTCCACTGGAGTGGTGGCGGCTGGCTGGCTGCTGCTCGTTTCCTGAGGCTCTTTAGGCGGCGATAGTTTCACGTCCAATGCTTTTGAATTTCTGGGTTTGTGGTTTGCTAGCAAAATCTTTAAGCTCTTCTTCACGGGATGCTGCTCAGTGTTCGTCTTACCTTCGTAACTGTTCCAATCTTTGCCCTCGTTTCCTTTGAGTCTTAAGCCACATGTATTGACCCGGTCCTCCTTCAGTTTTTTAACGAACGGGTTGTAGTTCACCTTCAGCTGGGTAAACTGGGGGTTTTGGTATGCAGTCACTGTTATAAACTCAGTCTGGGGGAAAGTGAAAGTGAGAACATTGGGACCGTTCAGTCTAAAGTCTTCGATGGCTTTGTCTGCCTGGACCACATGAAGTTGCGGTAAATAGCGGTGCATCAGATGCAGGATAATGTTCCCCTCCTGGTCTGAGGTGTTGTTTGTGAGTTTCAGTCTGTAAAAGGACACTGGACTCTGCATCCAGTGCTGACCTGTTGCTGGGGAGTCTGGATGAATGAAAGGCTTACTCCTCACGTGACGCTCTGCTTTTCGGCAAACTTGCCAGCTCTCACCTGTCCACCTATACTGACTATTGTCTAAAGGCTCAACGCCCATGACCAGAGAGTACTTCCTTGATGACTGCAAGCCAGTGATGCGGAAGCGGCAGTAAGGGAACATTCTGCTGCCTTGCTTGGTCAGAATCATTTCTGTTCTACATTTATAGAACTCATTCCACATGCCGTTGTTGTCTAGTGTCACTTTGACATCTTTACAGATGCAGTCAGGTGACAGGACATCAGAAGGAGAGTGTATACAGGTGGGATGCCTGAGTTCACCCATCTTCATGATGGCCTCCTTGGCTGGGTGCATCTTGTGTTTCCCACTAATATTTGTTTCACTAGTTGACACACAGATGCCCTGGACAGTCCCACTGTTTTGCACCTTTCCTGGTCTTACAGCCACAAGGGATGCAGGTGAATGATCAGCCGTTGGAGCTGCTGCAGGGGCAGTCGCCCCTTCCTTCAGGATCACCATACCTTGACGAGTCTTCGAAGAGGCCATGAACCGACCCCTGAAGGATCCCACTTCTCTGCATAATATTTTAAGATGGCATCCTGAAAAACAAGATCCACACTGTGTAAATACAGCTGGACATTTCATGTGAGACTTTGCATACAGCAAATCTTAAATGTACAGCTTAGAGCAACTGTGTAAACATTGAACTGTGCCTTAAGTCGTTTTCTAATCATAGTTGGACCGTAAATTTTCCTGATCCTAAAAATCTCTGAGACGAACACTCAACACCGCACAGTTGAGATGAAGCAATCAGAACTTTGTAGCTCATTTCCATCCTAACATCATTAGCGGATGCAGATCTCTCTTGAATAACTGTAACATCAGATGAAGACAGAACAAACTTCAAATAATGTTTTCATTAGCTGTAGTTCATTTATTATATTGGGAACACAGAACCTTTAAGCAACAATGGGAGCTGCCATTGTAAATCTGAATATCACCACCATTTTAAATGGTCAATTAAATTCTAAATATACTTTAGAATAATATATTTGAATATAATATACTATATTATATGTCACTGGCATGTAACAATAAGTTACATATTTGATGAAAGACGATGAAAGCCATTATCTGTGGAAGGTCTTGCTCTCTCTCACTCTCTGGCAGCCTAAATCAACTACAGTACATGTCACAGAGAATGCAGTTTCCTCTTAAACAGAGCTGGACAATAAATCAATTGATCAAACTTTGTGTTCATGATGATTTGATTTTTGCAGACAGAGTCCATTACATTCCCTGGGCTTCCATTGTTCAGAGTGATATCAGCTCTGCCTGGGCCTAACATCTTGCTTTACGAATTAGTTTTATTTGGACTTTGAATTCAGGTCAAATCCCAGAAGAGACTAAATCCAGTTTTTGAAAATATTTTCTGTCAGTTGTAATTTCTTTTTAAGAAAATCTATTTTTTTAAATAATTTTTTCAAAATTAAAATCAGAAATTAGATTAGAAAAAAACAACATAGAAATGTGATTTTTAAGCTATATTGTTCAGTCCTACAGGTTTCTTATTTTCCATCCTGGAATGTGGCTCACCAGGATGCGTTTCTGGGCAGTGGAAAACGGGTTTCTCTCTTAAACCTGACACTCACTTGGGGACACCAAGCTAGTTTTACACAGCTTATCAAATTTTTCTAGGCACAACAGTAGTGTGAGTGTGTAAACTGCCCCTGCAGTTTATAAAGTCAGACATTGTGTTATGTACAATTATAATCTACACAGTTAAAACCATGACAACAAAAGACACACCCCACAGTCAGCTAAGTGAACATTATCCACAAGTTTTGATGCACACAGATTCCAAACTTCTGTCTCCATGCAGAAAAACACAGGTTTGGTTGTTAATTTAATATTTTACATGGAATTGTAGAACTGAAATAAAGTTTAAGCAAATGATATTGCATGTGTTGTAGTTTTAGTGTAGTAGAAGACATTCCAGCTGCACTTCATTTCCTGGTTCTACAGTCATTTTCAATAATCATTTTCACTCTCATTTGTTTATTTTGAAAATTAAACAGACAAAAAACTAATTTTTACAACCACATTTCTTTATTTAAAATGATTTTTATTGATTTGATGTAATACTTTATTCTTAAATGTCATGTTTTTGTTCGCTGGAAGCAGAAAATCGTCATAACAAAAAAAAGCTGACTAATTTTATTTAATATATTTGACTTGGTACATTTAGCTACTGAAAAAAATTTAACTTTTCAATAATGAAAAGTTATTGAAAAGTAACTTTCTGTATATGCAAAGTTCAGCTTTGTCTCCACTGCTGGAACAGTGGCTGAATTCAGCTTTCAGCCAACACTCTGTCATGTTGTGTGGAAAAAAAACCAAGTGAAAAATCTCTGGTTCTACATCCATCATACAAGACTTCATTTTATTCCCTCAACTGATATGAATCTTAGTGACCAAGATGTTAATATTCAGGGAGCGTGGAGATAGAAAAGAAGATTGAAGAAAATGTGGGATAGCCAGAAATAAATGTCATGACAAATTAACAAGAGCGTCACAATATCAGTAGAAATACAGAACACATCTCCTCATCATAGTTCTAGATGTCAGTAAATTGTCCGGAAAAAAAGAAATTATTCCAACTGGGTTTACTTAAGCAAAATTGTAAACAAACCACTAAATATGATGATTTGAGACAGGGTGGAGATATTTATGATCTTTTCTTATCATTATGTTCTTTAAATAGTAACAACTATAACAAGCTGCTATAAGTTGGTGAATAAGTCAACCTATGTGCTTACATTGCCATCAAACTTCCCTAAAATTTGCCAAATGGAGTTCCAACTGAAGGAGTAATACCCAACAGCCAAATCTGACTGAAAGCAACTTTAGCCAGTTCCTAGCTAGCTGATCAGCAGTACACAGCAACAGGTGGGGGTGGGGGAAAACTGCATTACACTATGATCTAAACCAGGGGTGCTCAAGTCCAGTCCTCGAGAGCTACCGTCCTGCAACTTTTAGATGCAGCCTTACTCCAGCAGACCGGGATCAGCTCTGAACAGGTCTGGTAATGAGCCATTCATTTGATTCAGGTGTGTTGGAGCAGGGATGGATCTCATCATTGCAGGATGGTAGCTCTCGAGGACTGGACTTGAGCACCCCTGATCTAAACATATTCAGAAAACTGACCAATCCGTGTCCTATTAATAGAACCTTACACTGGACAACATACCTGGCTTTTCACAACATTGGAATATCTCAACACCAAGAATTATTCAAGATCACAGAAAATCATTTTAAGTCATTGGCTGTAAAAGTAGAAGGAAACCTTTCTCAATGGTCTTCTGTTGAAAGCAGCAACTTTTGGGCACAAAGTTAAGTCAAATACTGGTTGGGGCTGCATTTTACTGCAGTGATCACTGTTGCAGTGTAATACAGAGGTCCTCAGTTCAAACCCAAATCAGAATCTTTATGTACTGAGTTTGCGTTTTCTCCATAAATATTAGTGGGTTCTCTTCAGGGATTACAGCTTCCACCCAGGGTCCAAAAAGCTGCATAGCAGGTTAACCTTCTTCTTGCTTAATTTTCCTTACATTAAGATTTAGACACTAAGTGTAAGCTTAGGTGGAGTGGTGATATGTACCTGCCATTTGCCCATTGACTGCTGGAGGTATGCACCAAACTCCAAGGAACAATCGGGGGTAGATGATGAACAAAACTAGATTGTATGAAACACAACAGGAAGCTTAAATATTGGTTTGATTCAGGTACTCTGTCAAATTCTGGAGAAGGTCAAACGAAATAGCAGTTAGCCATAATTAGCTTCTCAGTCTTCTACTTTAGACTTTGATTTAAGATTATGAACATGATTTCTTTTGAGAAGGTTTGTTATTAAAGAGACAAAACATGTCAATGTTTAAGAAAAACCAAGAAGGTAACCTTCAACAGATTTTATGGTTCTTCCACATTGGAATCAATGCTAACAGCAACTAGCTGCTCTTTTGTTTGACTAAGGACAATGGTTTAAAGATTAGTCCTTCACAGTCAAATGGATAACCTAGGAGACCTGATCAAATGCATGCTGAGTCTTAAACCCACTCTGCTAAGACACACATATACTGTTATTAACTATTCTGTTGATTTTGTTTCAGATGTAAAAACTGCCATTAGCCAGCGACTGCAAGATGGTGCAAGAAGATAAAAAGAGTCAAATTAAATGCTGTGTATGTTAGTAAGACTGTCTTTGTTCTGTGCTCTCAGTTGGTCCGATAGTAAATATATCACAGTGCTGTGAAGCCAGAAATACATAGCTAGCTGCAGGCCATAGTCACAGCCCAGTAATGGCTGCCCACCAAACATCAAACATATCCCAGCACGTGCTCTTCTATTTGCACGCACATTACCTTCTGCCTATAGGAACACACGGAGTGTCCTGATGCCACATCAAATCCGTCCTTGTCGTCGATAACTCCATCGGTCTGGCGTACACATGAGAACCATTCACTGTTCAAAAAAAAAAAACATAACACCCCTTTTTTTTTTGTTACGTCACCAACATTACCGTCCTCTTCTTCCGGAACTGCGCAGACTCAGACGCCATCTTACAAAAGCCACCTGGGTGAAACGTGTTCGTGCTACGCAAACAACGGAGAAGTCCAGGATTTGACGCTGGAGACCCACAGGAAGAGACCCCAGGAAGAGACCGACAGGAAGAGACCCCAGGAAGAGACCGACAGGAAGAGACCCCAGGGCGGCTCTGCTCTCCTCCTGACGCCTTCCTCTCGAGGCTCGAGCTCTCTCACATCCACTCGAGCAGGCATCTGGATCCATGTTTCCTTCTGTGAATAGAAGTAAAGCTTAAAGAAATTGCGCCGGAAGCATCACTCATCTGGATTGTAACGGGTTATCTGTTATTATAGTGCTTTCTTCATTGTTTCCGTGGTTTGACATTTGACAGTTCTTTTAACATTTGGTTGTGTGAACACATTTAATTCAAAAGTCTCCGTCTTTGAGTTGTGGACATCTCGGTCTGTTAGTGTTCTGTATTTAATGTATTTTCTGAGTCTTGTGTTCAGCCTCCGCCATGTTGTTTGCGCCGGGTTTAAACACCGTCATCCCGTCATGGCGGTCGCAGATGGAGTCGGGGTATTGGTGACACACACGAGGCGGGGGGCCGGAGGGTAGGGAGGCAGTTATTTGCCTCGACTCTGTTATCTCCCTTCCAGACCCGAACCGGACAAATGGACCGTGAAGGCTGGAACCCAGAAGACCGCATATAGCTGCTTGCAAATCACACTGCATGTTAAAGAATCACATATTTTGATAAGTCGAAGCTCGCAGTATGGGCCGTTTGATTGTAGTTGGGACAGGGAGCCACTGGGGGCGCTGTTATACAGGATAGCAATGCTCACAAATGACGCTGGTAAGTTCTATTCCGATGTATTTTGTGTGGTACGAACTTGAGCTGCGCGCGAGATGTGCCACGTTAAACGCCGGGAGAGCTCTTTGACATGAAGCTGTATTTGGTTCATGTCTTTACATTGGGTAACTGGTGATGTAATTCACAGATATTGCTAAAATAAACGATATGACTTACCATCTCCCCCCCACAAAAGTTAACAATTAATTAATTGACAAGATGGAGGTCCTTTCTCCTATTTTTGTTGTTTCCTCTTTCTTGATCTATAAAGTCAGGAAAGGGATGAAGCTGCCTGCCACAAAAATGTTTCACACCATCCAAAAACTTGGCTCATTTTAACCATCTTCAACAAGTGATGACTACCATGTTTACCATGGTTTTTGATCTGAACAAGCATCATATTCTATCAATACGCAAGTCAAATGTACATGTTTGGGGATGCACCGATTTGAAAATTTGGGCCGATATCTGACAATATTGCTGCTACGACCAATAACCAAACAAACACGATGAGAAAACAACCACATCTGTTTCCAACGCAACCGAATATCGACAAAACTTTGTCAATATTCCATTAAACCTGAAAAAATGAAAAATTTGTCAATGCTCATTGAATAAGAAACACAAAATCACACGTGACAAAGTTTGTTGGTGCGCCAAGTAATCATAAAATGTGCCGCGCCACAGTCATTCAACTACTTCCTGTTCCTCTTTGTGGTTTGCACGAGTGGCAACATCCATCTGATGAGCCCGGGACTCGTGATGCAAAAAAAGGCATTTGAATTGTTTCATTGCAGTTTTTATTTTTATTCGGCCACTCATCGCAGTGCCAAAATGTATCGAAAAAACTAGTTTTGTCAAATTCATTATTGTAAATGGTCAAAGTAAACAGTTACTGCTGTTATAGCTTCTTTCTTCAGTGAAACAATTCAACCCTGCACTGTGTCACTGTTAATGTCACACAACCAAGATGGAAACCAGTAATGACAGCACAGTTTTAATTATTGGGCTGATGTATACGTTAAAAAAAAACCCCACAAACATCAGCTGACACTAACATTATATCATACATCCTGTGAAATAATTAAAATTCTCAAAATTTGAGTAAAACATCAATTTGATTTGAACATTTTTATAGCCTCTCATAATTTGCTGAAATATTTAAATACCAGCAAAAATGACTGTTTTAAGTATGAGACTGTTTGTTTAAGGGAAAAATGTAAATGTTGAGGTATGAAGGTACTAATTGATCAGATCCACTTTATCAATCTGGATTTTTTTTAACCTTGCTTATTTCCCTTTATCTTGAATTTTTATTTTTTGAAAGATACTAAAGGTGTCCAGAAACACAAATCTGCTCCTATTCTTTAATTAGATGTTAAACCATAACTCTGGCTGGTTTCTGGATCAATATTTGATCCAGAAAATACAAACAGCTGAACATTTGTCTTTTTTTTTTTTTTAGTTTGATTGAACTGATCCTGTTTTCTTTCATTCTGTTTTAACAAGGAATTGATTTCCAAGATCTCATTTTTATTCCAGTCCAGTTTAATGGATTAGGTCCTGAGCTCAACTGCTATCCTTAACACAGTTATGGGAACAACTATGTGTTAAAAAAAAAACATACCTGCACATGGAATTAGCAGTCGGTTTCTGTTTTTCAACATTTCTTGTCATACATTTAGAGCTGCAGTTTTCCTCTGGACAACAGTGTCTAAGTGCAGCATGGAAAGGCTCCAGGCAGGATTTAAACCTGGGATCTTGTGCTTGTGAGACCATGGTGCAAAGGAGTGATTCACAGGTCCTTTGAGTCATCCTCTTTCTCCGTTTTCACATCAAAATTTATTTAATGGGAGCATTAATGGTCAGGATTCTTCATTTTAAATGTAACGAAACACCAAGCTCGTCCAACACCAGACGCAATCATATCACCTGACCGACACGTCTTCCAGAATGTTCCTCTTTTGTCTCATCAGTCCAAACAACATTTTATCTAAAGTCTTGAAGATGGAAGATTTTTATTCTTTTGGTAAACAAAGAGACGTGTCTTTGTCTGTTTACCAGCTGTGATTCCAGCTTTGGAGGCCATTTTGCCCAGCGTCTCTTGTTGATCATTAACTCAGATCTTAGGTGAAACCTGCAGATCTTTATTGGTTCTTCTTGGATATTGATTTAGTTCCCTTTCAAATTTCATCTATGCCAAAATGATTTGTCTATATGTAATGTCTGTAAACAAAGAGCATGTAAAACTAAAGTCAAATTTCTTATTCCTTGTTTCTACACAACCTTGGCCAATAAAGTTGATTCTGATGTGCAAACCAATCAGATTGAAGCCATCCTTTGAACTGGCTAGCTGTGTGTTTTGCACCAACTACATAAATTAGTTGTATTTGTAGTATTTTTGGAGGCCTGCTAATTCTGGGAAGAAGTTCCAAAGCCTTAGAAACTGTTTTCTTACCTTTTGAAAAGTGACGGCAGTAGAACTGTTCACCATTTGCCTCGGATGTCTTTGGTTTGAGTCAGTCAAGTGTTGGTTTTGCAAATCTTTGATCCGACCTCATGTTGTCAGCCAATCACTGTTCAGTGATTTCTTGATTCTACTAGTCAAAATCACGGCCTGAGTGTGGCCCGTGCAAATTTAAAAATATGATTAACTACTGTGAATTTATGATTTAATAAAGCAGATCAACATTTCCCAAAAGGCCAGCTTGGTTTGGATGCCTCCCTCAATAAATTAAGTCATTTTGTACATATTTAGAGTTTACAGGTCTGATAATGGCCCTGCAATGGACTGGCGACCTGTCCAGGATGTACCCCACCATTCACCCCAAATGTCTCACTGGAGACGGGCAGCAGCACCCCTGTTGTCCCCACCAGGGACAAGAAAATGGACGGTCTCATAATGGTCTGAAACATGGAAAAAAAAAAAAGGTCAAATAGAAATCTATAAGGAGGCAAATTGTTCTTACAGCACTAAACATTTTAAAGTGAAAATGGGTGAAACTGACAGTTTCATCTTTTAAGTAACAAACGTCACCAGTAATGTTCATAATTATAAGGGTGTTCTATTAAAATGACACACATTGAGGTACAGCTTCCAATGTCCCTGCAAAGTCCTGCCAATAAAGGCCACTGCTTCACATTTTAGACATAAGCTGTTTCAGAATAGATCCTTAGCTTTTGTGTTTGAAAAACTATTTTCCAGTTTTGCTCACATCACTTTTAATCAAGCTTTAGTGGAAAAACAATTGAAGGTTTTTCTGGCTCTAGTGGCCTTTATTAGCAGCACTCAGGAACTGAATGCATCAAGGACTTCAACCCCATCACCATCCCAGTATGACAACAAATTTTAAATTGATATTAATGATGTACACCCTCTTTGATTTCCAAGTTTATCTTTGTGTTTTCCCCCCAATGATCATAACAGCTATTAAAATACATCCTAAAAAAAAATCTCCCACAGGGAATAAAAATATTGCAGCATAAATAACTGGTCAACAGCCAAAAAGTCTTTTTTTGTTTGTTTTTTTGTTTTAGGGTCATGTTGATGAATCTCATTGGTTTTGCTCAATCAGGTCGACTTTCTGAACTATGGAGCAACATGAGCATCAAAATGCAGGACTTGTTCTGACATCTGGATCAATGAGTGATGAGCAGGAGGAGAGATTCCATCAGGACACAAAAGAGTCTGAGAATTTATCACCATGAAGACATTCAATTATTAGTGTGTATTATTCAATTTATAGAAATCCAAGTTTATAGCATTTAATCAATATATTCTGTTAGAATTTTAAAATGTTCCTAAAACCTCTTTTTGAATGAGAAATATGAACTGATAATGTCATTATAATGTGATTTAGTAATTTTAGTCAGAAGATCAGATTTCTCTAAGTGAATTTAGAATAAAAACCTGACAGAAAAATGGATGTTATTCTGGATTCAGTGGTGCAAAATAATCCCAATTCAGTTGAGAAAACAGACAACTTCAAATATGTATATTTTTGTGACCCAGTGTAATTATGTCAAAGTACCAAACAATTAGCAGAAGTAGCGATTAGCTACATCAGATCAAGATGAACACCCTGTGGTGAGGAGCAGATGGTTCCTCTTGCTGACTGAAAAACTCAGTCGTCTCTATAATAACTTGAAACTGACAAAAGTACTAATGAATGAAAGTTTACTGAAAATAAATAACAATGAAAATCATTTTTGTGTAGCTCAAAGTACTGGATGGTACCTGATGTTTTGATTTTTGAGGCATTCAAACCGTTCCTGTAGCTGTGAAGGCCAGTTCAGAATAGTTCAATGTTTTGCTCTTGGTGATTCTTGGGTCATTTGAGTCTTTATCCTGTTGAAACAGCCTATGACCTGTGACTGAGATCAGGCTTTCTGACAAGGCAGCACATTTCTGTCCAGAACACCCAGAGTCATGAGGTTTCGTCACACCCTGCATCAGGACGCCCTGCACCAGATGTTGCACAGCAGCTCCAGAATAGAACTGAGCCTCCTGGAGTTCATTTCTTGATCAGCTTCAGTGTTGCGTCAGTGAATAAAGAACTGACACGCTTTGACTAAAGTTTTGTCTCATCTGTTTGAAGGACATTCTCCTAATGTCCATCATGTCCTTGGCTTCCTCTGGCTCATGTTCAGCATGGTACACAACATGTACATTCTTGAAAAATGTTTTTCATATTCTGCTTTGAGGCATTTTTACATTTTCTGTCATTGTCATTTTTAAATTAATTGAAATCATTGAACAATTGCTGACAAATGTACTTTTCACCCTGAAGGAAGACTGATGTCTTCTGTACTTTTGTGTTAATGGGTATTTAAATAAATTAAAATTAAAGTTTCAAAACTGCTAAAACCAGGGATGCACAAAGTATCTACATGAAGGTCGTATCGGCCGATGTAGCATATCGACATGGGGACAATAAGTAGGAATGTGCAGATGTTAATCACTGATATTCATTTCCATCTTATTGTAAAAAGTAGGTTTTAGCCTGGCGTCGCATGGATTGGAGGGTACTTAACTGAAGCAGAAAAACAATATCAGGGGTGTGGTTGTTTATTCTGGATGTCAAAAGTCCAGGGAAATATAAATATCAGCTGTAACAGCAATATCAATATTGGATGTCAATATCAGCCCACGTTTTCCCTCCGGTGCATCCCGAGCTAAAACTTTAAAAACACAACGCCTTTACAGATTTATGTCTCCCAAAGAAACTGGGTAGTCATGGTCAACCTGGTTCATTATCCAACACCAACAGTTCCTTCCTGGACTCTCCAGGACGCAGCAGGCGTCGGCTCATCGCTGCCATCTGGCCACAGAAGAGGCCAAAATGTGCTTCAGTGAGACAAAATGCAATAGCAGAGTGAGCAGAAATGGCTTCAGGTTTTTGAAGCATAAAGTAACCCTGAGTTTCCTCCTCTCTCCCACTGCACACTGCAGGTCAGATGGCTGAATGAACGGTCTTAAAAATAAGACAAATTTGACTTTTAACAAGACTTACGATATGTGCATTGGAACGGCAAAAAGGAATAACACATTTTGCAAAAAGAATTTCAAAAAACCTTGGTTCTTCTGTTTGAAGGGGTTATGCATAAGACTGGCATAATGTCATAAACACCCAGAGCATCTGTTATGAACATGAATGTTTATGGCTGTTGTCATGAAGTGTCATTTGGTGAATAATGACACTGTTAGTGCAAAGTTTACACTTTCAATGCAACTTTTAGTACAACGTTGCATTAAGTGTCATCATTCACCGAATGACACTTCATGACAACAGTCATAAACATTCATAAAGACTCCTTTATGTTCACAACAGGCGTTATGTTTATGACAGCACTCTGCCAGTCTTATGCACGTCCCTTCACACAAAGTGTCACCAAAACCTTTTTACTTTAAAGCCTTCACCTCAATGTAATGTGTTTATGTCTGAAAGTTAAAACAATCAGCATGTTAAGTGTAATAAATGTAAAGATGACTTCACTATGATACATTTTTGGTTGTACATTTCAAATAAAAGATGAAGTGTGTGAATGTTTGTGTGAATACTGTGATAACATGATTTATTTTATCTATGGATGTTTTAGTGTCATGGCACACTTTTTACCTCCCACCTGCAGTCCAGTCCTGATGTGACGGCTGGACATTGTTAGTCTGCTGCTCCCGACATCAAGCCTCAGACCCCGGTGCCACCAGTAACACTTTATTTTGTACAAGTTCAGCCCACCTCAGTGTTCCCCACAGATCTGAAGTCAGAGATTTACAGAAAGGTTAAGAAAAGGCAGTTCAAACCTCACAGTGCAGCACATCGTTAGGAAAACCTGAAGCAGCCACAGTAGAAGCCAGAAGTTTACATACACCAAATAAAAACACATTTTCTTCCCTCACTGTGTGAAGTTAAATCAGACTGACGTTCTCTTGCTTTGGGTCAGTTAGAAAATGTAAAAGTTATTTACTGAATGCCACAAAACAGGAGCATGAAATGGAGATTTATTTATTATTATCTTTGAAATCAGATGTTTACATACAGAATGATTACTATCTCTTCAAACAAAAAGGGAAAGCCCAGATGATGATGATGAGGAAGCCTCGACATATCTGACGTATGAGGGATGTAGTGTCATGTGGGGTGGAAAAGTAAACTTCTGAATATGAAGAAAATCACAAACTCTACAAACATTTTCCTCAATTTGTTTACTGGCAATTATCCGGCAAAATGTGGTGATTTTGATTATGCTGAAACAAGAGGTGTTTGATCATATTTAACTTCAGACAGTGAGAAAATTTAAAAATTTGTCTTTTTATTCATTTATGTAAACTCCTGGTTTCAACTTTAAGTGTTCAGTTCACCAGGATCAGCAGACTGCACACGCTTCAGGTTAAAAACATGCCTATCATGTCCCAGAGGGGCTAATAAAGTCAACACCAGCATATTAACATTAGCATGTTTCACCAAGGCGACAGCTATTGGTTCATCTTCTAGTCACCATCTAGTAGCCTTGACTACCAGACCAAAGCAGTTTAGTTCCCAGGACAAAAGATCCGATCGGGAGCTTTGGGAATGCAAATAACCCGATTTACAAGATGCTAACAGCTAGCAAGAGAGTTTTTATTATCAGCCTGTTTACAAAACAAAAACTACTAGTTTTAAAGAGGGGATATTATGTATTTTCCATGCACATATTGTGATTTTATAGCACAATTGAGAAACTCTTAGCTTCAGTTGAAAAATGCTACAGATAGCAAATATAAAACAAATTTGACTTCACAGTTTAATGCCTTGAAATTTTTGCCTCTGTCTCACTACACAGTTACTACAGTTAGAGAAGGAGCTTAGTGGAAATAGGCGGAAAATCAAAGCAAGGCTCCAGGTATGTTTTTGATGAGGGAATAACTTTGTAACATAAAGTACAAACAGTTGATTTTACATAATATCCCTTCTTTAAAGACTGATATTTATTGTAATCTTTGCGCGTGTCATTTATTTTCCAGGATTTCATGTGACATATCAGACCTTCACTGCCTTCTGCTACACAATGAAAGATTACCCAGAGTTCTTAGAGCTGCCATAATTAAACAGCTTTACTGACAACTCATTGAAAAACAGTGTTACTATCAGAAATGTTATCAATAAAACCATTAAAAGTTGTTTCTACCTACAACATTATTGCTCTTCACCTGTTGCTAACACTGAGGCACGTTTTACGCCTGCCTGTCAAACTGGGCCGTCCCGTCTGACGGCTGAGTTATTACTGACTATGCATTTAATACTTTCTCTCTCATTGCCCAGATCCTGCAGTGTCACCATGGCAGCAGCTGTTGCCCATACAGCAGCCTGATTAGCTGCTCCACTGCTCGTCAAGGAAGAATATAAAAAACATGCCGACCCTTGCCATTTCCTCAGCTTGTTTGCTTGTTGATGATGAGGAAGCTCCGGTGCAGAGCTGTGCAGCCTCCCTGTACCTGTTGCAAGCCTCTCCTCCAGTAAGCGTATTCTCCCAGTGGAAACAAACCGGTTCGTGTAGAAAGTCTTCCTCACCGGACAAGTCATGTTTTTACAGCAGGTCGATCCCCGTGTCTTCTGCAGAGGATTTGCTGGGATCCTTCCAAGAAGGAGTCGGTCAATCCCCAGCGGAGATAATCTCAGCTCCCATCAGATGATTCTGACTTTTGTAGATGGATTCCACACTATTTTCAATACCCGCTTACGTCTCACCCAAATGCAGAATCTTGGCAGAAACCCAGCTTCAAAGTTCTTAAGAAAAAAGGGCAAGTTTCACAATGTCACCAATAAAGAGGCTTAAATTGTTTTAAATTATTGTGTAACATGGAGCAAAAACACAGAAAAAAGTCCAAATGTAACACAGTGAACCAAGGACAGTTTCCCTACACAGACCCACAGGTCATGGTTCTGTGGCCGATTTCTTCTCTGGAGTTTGGACACACTGATCCCGATTCCAATCATTTCCAAGTTGCTGTTGAAGCACTTTTTTTACCCTCCCTGTCACCGCGAGTCATCATTTAAATTAGCTGAGTCGGCATCAAGCTGTAACATTTTTTACCATTTTTAGCAACTAGGATTAGGAATTAGAACCAGTTATTGTAGTCATGAACGTAATATTGTAGAGAAAACTCTATGGCTTTACTATTTACACCGGACATTAAAAACTCAAAAAGATAATCGAAAACCATTGTTCTCTGTCCAACTGGTCTGCTGAACATGTCTGCCTCTATGCAGACATTGATGAACTGTAAATAAAACACTGTTTCCTTTTAAGTAGCTTCTTCCACCTCTGTGCTTCTTCACTCTTTACAGAGACTGAAATCAGCTTATTCTGAGTTCTTACCACAAATTGTGGTGCATTTACTGAACCTATAAAGATGTAGTTTTTTCGCCTTCCTCTGGTCAGATGAAAATCATGACTCTGAGAATCATCAGCTGATTTCTCAGTTCATCTCTAGTAATTATTTTACCAAATGTAAAGTGGGTGGTTAGCAGCTCTCAGGTGAGAAATGTTCTCAAACTGTTTATTCCTATTATTGACCTCATGATAAACTAGTGAAACACTAAGGTTTCACTAGTTGAAAAACATTGAAAAACAGTGTTACTATCAGAAATGTTATCAATAAAACCATTAAAAGTTGTTTCTACCTACATTATTGCTCTTCACCTGTTGCTAACACTGAGGCACGTTTTACGCCTGCCTGTCAAAGTTCTGCATGTCAAACTGGGCCGTCCCGTCTGACGGCTGAGTTATCACTGACTATGCATTTAATACATAGTCAGTTTTAAAAGGTTCTGCCAGTATGAACATTCTAGTTCATACTGGCAGAAGAGCTCCATTTATTCACAGATCATCTGTCTCATACCAACAAACATGTAAAAAAGGGGGGTGAAATGTGACAAAAAAGTTCTAACTCTGTATATAATACATCATAAACTTTTTAAATACTGCGTTAAAGCCGCAGTATTTCATCCAACTTTTATGAAATATATGTTTTTCACATATATTGTGACACGGACAGTATGAGACAGATAATATGTGAACAGATCGATCTCGACCTCTTCATTTTTTCTGCCTCAGAAGTTGGAACCGAAAAAATATTTAATCCTTGAACAAACAAATCTCTGAAACGACTCAGAGATTCTGAGCTGCTCAACCCCTGACTCACTCAACAACACGCCAGGAATGTGTTTGTGTGCTGGCAACAGATGAAGGTCCCTTCGCCTGGGAGAGTTGGTCCTTTAGTACCTTGCCTGGTCTCTACCAACTGCAGCCGCTCCGAGACATAAAGTGAACAGCCAATCAGGAGAGAGGAGCAAATCTGGACTGTGGCAGGTCCATCGATCAAACGTTAATTACAACATCATCGTCTTCGTCCCGTAGCTCACCGACTGGTCCGTTCGCTAAATCCTCTCTTCTTTCCACTGAGCCCATCTCCTCGGCTTCCTCAGCGATAGCTCCACAGGGCCCCATGATGTACCTGTAGTCCCCTCCAATGGCCAGCGCGGCCCCAGAGCCCACCATGAGCCAGTCCTTCTCCTCGTCCTCTGCCCGGCGCTGCCAGGGGACGCTCCAGCTGGAGCCCTCAGCTGCGACTTCCGGTCCCAGGATCCGGGCCCCCACGGCTCCGTCCTCTCTGTCCGTCTCACTGTTGTCCCCTTCCAGGTTGACGTAGAGCAAGGACTCCTTCATAAGGGCGACAGGGGACAGGGCCAGGTGCAGCGCCTCCAACTGAGTGACCAGCTGCAGGAAACTGGGACGGCATTTGGGGACCGGGCTCCAGCATCTGTGCATGATCTCATAACTAGCAGACAGAAGACGAAAAAAAAAAAAAAAACTTCTGAAATTCAGAAAATGCATTAGAAAGGTCACTGTAAAGCATTTTGAAACGTTAAAGCCGCAGTATTTCATCCAACTTTTATGAAATATATGTTTTCACATATATTGTGACACGGACAGTATGAGACAGATAATATGTGAACAGATCGATCTCAACCTCTTCTATGAGCTTCTACTGCCATCTGAACAAATTCTCAACTCCCGGTCAGAAACAACCAATCAAAGCCAACCTCATGCACTTCCTGCTTATCGTGCTAATGGCAGAGAAACAACTTACAGTTACAGGAAAACTATTTACACACCATCATTGGTGGCCATGCTAGCTAGCAATAGTATTCACAACTGGCTATGCTAGATGAAGGGTAGCAAAGAGAAAGGGAGAGGGAAGGAATCATCAGCGCCACACAAAGGGTGATTGACAGGGCTTCGATCCTTCTCCTAACTCTGATTGGTTGTTTCTAGTTCATACTGGCAGAAGAGCTCCATTTATTCACAGATCATCTGTCTCATACCAACAAACATATAAAAAAGGGGGGTGAAATGTGACAAAAAAGTTCTAACTAACTGTATATAATACATCATAAACTTTAATATTCTCACATGTCCTCTCTGCAGTCTGCAGGTTTCTTCAGACGCTCTCCTTTGATCAAAAACTCATAGATCTCAGAGTTTTCCACTCCAGGATATGGAGTCTGACCCCGGGTCATGATCTCCCACATTGTTACACCAAATGCCCACTGAAACAAATACAGTTAAATAAATACATCTGCATAAAACCACAGTTAATCCATAAGTTAATAAGTTAACAATGTATGTGTATGTGTGTGTGAGTACCACATCGCTCTGAGTGGTGTACACATTGTCTGCCAAGCTCTCTAGAGCGATCCACTTGACAGGCAGTTTGGAAACAGAGCCCTGGCGGTAATAATCTCCACTATAGATTTTCTTAGAGAGTCCAAAGTCTGCCACACACACAGACATGTTCTCGTTCAACCTGTAACACATACACACACACGCAGTCATATTTTCATGACTTTGGCGACTTTACATCGACTTCCATTCATTTTCTACAGCCTTATTCCATCCCTAACCATCGCAGACCTAAACCCTAAACCCCAAAACAGCATTTCCCCTCATGGAGACCAGCAAATGTCCCCACAACCCCACAATTTAGACAGAAATAGGACCCCACAAGGATATCAAAACTTAGTTCACACACACGCACACACATACTATAAAGTACTTTCATTTTTTACCCCTTTTTGGTAAGTTGTCCTGGCTGGCTCGCCACATTTTTTTTTATTGAATAAATGCGGCGTTGATTAAAACTAGTTATGTCAGAGGAACTGCATTTCAAATGGACTCCATTTCAAGCGAGGTCACTAAATGTGCCAAATTAATAACCTAATTAATATTGCAATTGCTTAAGTCACGACAGCATCAAAACCAAATTTAATCCAAGGAAGAAAGAAAAAAATGGTAGTCCTGCTTTTCTTTTATTTCTCTACCTTTCCACAGACGCTTTTTAACTTTAATCCATTTTTAAGATGATAAAGATCTTAAAATTATCAAAAAATCTTTTAGGTCCAACTGAGACCAGTGTTTTCTACTGGAGTTGGTAAATGTCAACTCAAGCTCAGAAAAGTGTTCTGACTGACATGCAGTTTCGGGCAGCTAGGTCTCTGTGGATGATGCTCTTGCTGCTCAGATACTCCATCCCCCGAGCAATGTCCAGCATGAACTGCACCAGAGTCTGGAGACAGAGGTCCTAAAGCAGAGACAGTATGTTGTGAGGACTTTATCAGGCATCAGGTGCAGGCATGAAATGATTCATAACCAGTTGCTTACAAATGGGTCATCCCCCAAACGAGACAACAGCAGGAAGGTGTGCAGATCCCCGTGCTTCATAAACGGCAGGACCACCATTGGGATTGGGAGCCGTTGGCCAGGACGCCGGTGCAGACTCACTCCTGTTGCACAGAACAGACTGTGTACTGGGTTTTCTGACAGCTTTTTGCAGCATTCTGTGTTTTGCCTGTGTGTTACCAATGAGCTTGATGACATTGGGATGGTGGAAGTCCTTCATATACGCAGCCTCCTTTAGACACTGTTCAATGTCACCTGACGAGGTGATGTCAGCTGCACAAGAAAACACACACATTTACATGCAGCAACATTTTGACACCTCACTTCTTTGACATGTCGCAAACACTGTGACCAGCATGACTGGGAAGTTTGGAAGAAAGTAGAAAATGAAAGAATGGGAAAGGCTCACTCGAATGTAAGTACCAAATTTTGTGAATTTTTCCGTAATAAATTTGGTGGCACTTTGGCCAAGTTAGTTCAACATGTCCTCCATTTGGAAAACACTTCCACACTCCCCACTCACTGCAAAGGGCTCTCTGTCTGTTTGTCATTAAAACGCTGCTATTCAAACAAGCACTTGGATTAATCAATACTCTCTTTCTTATGTTCTTTTTTTTCTATTTGGGAAAAATGGAAATAGAAATCCCATGATGACTCACATTTCAACACTTTGACAGCCACCTTCTGCATCGATGTCGAGTCATCAGTCTTCAGAATAGCTTCTCGCACTGAACCAAACTCACCTGTAAAGGTCAACATGTACACATCAACATCCAGCTTCTATATCACGTCATCCCATTTCTTCACTCAGTTCATGAATTTTCCTATGTACTCAACAGAATTTCTGTTTTGTTGAAGGATTTCTTGTTAATGATTTCTTTTACTAGTCTTAGAACTAATATATTTAAACATATTTGTCTAATCAGATTTTTTTAGAACACAAATTCTTTTTAGATTTTTTTCAGATTCAATGTTTTTTTTATGTTTTGATTGCTATATTAACTTGCAGTCACTAGATGGCAGCACTGCTCAAATTAATCAACAGTCTACCTGTTGAACCCAGTAGAAGAAGCAGCCTACACAGAGAGTGCACAACTGACAGAGAAGAGCTGGAGAAGTTTGTGATAGTAAATTTTTTTTTTTTAAATAGCAGCAGAGGCTAGAAATGCAAATATAATGGAGTATCAGGGCAAGAAGACTAAGATATTTTATTTCTTACTTACAAATATTAAGGTCATAATATTAGCAGAACAAAGAGGAAAGGATTCTGGTGTTTTTTTTCTTCTTAATTTTCAGGTCATTTTTGTGTTGCTTTACCAAACCAAATATTGGGTTCGGATTGCTACAGACTGGTTTGTGTGGTGGCGTTACCTTTTCCCAGCATGTGGCCCAGAGTAAGAAGTCTCTCTGAAATCAACACATCCTGCAGTTTGTTCTTCAGCTCACTGCTGATGCATAAACTGTCCACTGAAGGAAGGAAGACACAGTCAAAGGTAATCCCAACCTGGAATTATCCACTCAGTGTTACATTTGAAACTTTTCTCCTGGTGAGCAGAAGAGAGAAAGGAGAACTAAGATATCATAAATGAGTAATCGTAGTATTGCTTCAACTTTAGCCTGTTAACACACATAAAGTGCTGGAAGAAAATATTTGCTACTTACAGAATTAATCTGTTTTTAGTTGTTTTTTGCCACATGTAAAGGTGAAGAAAATTTTAATATCAGATAAAGATAACCTAAGTAAATACAAAAAGAGGTTTCCTAAAGATGAAAGAAGTCTACCTGGCTTTACATTGAAAAGTTTTCACCTTCCTTGATTAATCATAAAAAATGTGTAATTAACCACTTTTCTTTCCATCTCATTGCTGCTAAAACTGCAGAAAATCCCTTAAATGGAATCTAAAAACAAAAAGCATCATCACATCATGTCCCATCTGAAAAAATTCACAAACAAATCAGAAATTAACGCCCTGACATCAATGAGTCTGGAAAGATTTATAGAGATGCATCTTAGGCTTTGGGATGAGAGAGAACCCCAAGTGTGGTGGGAGACCCAGACCCGCCTGGGGCGTTAGAAGTCTACATCAATGCGTCTATCAATGGACGCATTGATGGAGGCCTCCATCAATCCTTTGATGGAGGCCTCCATCAATCCTTTGATGGAGGCCTCCATCAACGTGTCCATACGCATTGGGCGACAATGACCAGCTACAACACCTGATTGCCACGGTTACGTAGCTGGGCTCTGAAGAGCGGCTGCTGATCTGAAGAATGGCGGTGATGGCGTTATCTACCAAAATGTATGATTAGAGGCATGTTCAGGATCGTTCTCTACTAGAAAGATAATTATTTTCCACACACAAACAAAAAATGTATCAAATCATTTCATGTTTGAAACAGGGAACTTGACCAACAATGTTCATATGTCAGTAAATTCAGATTTTGATCTGAAACAGAAAAAAGAAGTCTGTTAACGTCCCAGCTAGTTAGCAAATGCCCTGATAGCAAACACCCCCTTAAACATTTACTGTTTAAAGGGGGCAAATGTTTAATATAGGAAAGCACCTGCTGTGGCAAATACTTTTCCACAGCAGTGTCATTAGTAAAGAGACGTTAATGTCTGCTCCAGCTCCGAGCAGAAGAAGGTATCGTAGGAAACCGTTCACTCACAGGTGGACTCATGCAGATCAGCCACGTTTCTGCTGAACGACCGAGCTGCGGTGAAGAACACCGAACTCTCTGAACCAGGAGCCTTAAAGGCCGAACTGCAAACAGACACAACACAAAATTGAGATCAACTCTCTTCTTCTGTGTGTTCAAACAAGACATCTCAGGCATCATACCCAAACTTTGTTTCCTTCTCTCTGCGCTGAGCTGCGATGGTGAGCAGCAGCCCAATGATGGTGGCCACCAGCAGGCCGAGCAGCAGCCCCACCCACATGCGGCTCCGCTGCACCTGGACAGGAACTGATGGAGCAGCAGGCGGGCAGACATCAGTCCAGTTTGAAACAGAACAGAACAAAATAATCCTTCACAATAACAATTCAAATCTACTTTCTTAAATAATCCAACAGGAAATCATATACAGTATAGTAAGGAATCACAGTACACCTTTGTGATTATGACCTTTTTAAATTCTCCACCTTAAAATTAACCAATGTATGAAAAATTTAAATCTAGTACTATAGATAATACAACTAAACAAAACAACAATATTTAACTAATAAAAAGTAGCAAACATACTTTACAAACTAACTGAATCAGGCAAACTGAACTGTACTGAGAAAAACAAAACTAAAGCAATCCTGATAGGAAGCAAACATCTGTTTAACAGGAGGTCATTCTGCTGCATGGGAGGAAACATTCATCAGATAAATACCACCTTGGTTAAACTGGACCAACCCCCTGACAGGCTACCTGAGGCAGGCATCACCAGCACCGGGGGGCTCCAGGGTCCACAGCCAACTGCAGTGCAGGCTGCCACCTGCATGGAGGCGTTGAAGAAACGGGCTGCGTCTAACATCGGAGTAGAGTTGACCTTAAACAGCAGAGGTTCCTGGAGACATACAGTTGGAGATATGAGGAACTTTAGCTGGGACAGAACAGAACCCAGTATCAGACCCTTAGTGCCCTCCAGGCCATGCAGGTTGATGGCAGCGACAGAGAGCTGCCAGCTGAGTCTGTCCTGATTGCTCTGGACAACATCCACTCTGATCTGTAATTAAAAAAAAACAAACAAAAAAAACACACCACTAGTTCCGTCTGACCCCAAGACACAAAATACTTACACATCACTCCTGGCTTATTACAGATCAACTAAACAGCTTTAACAGCAGCAAACAGAAAAGAATTTAGTGAAATCAGATTAAGAAGTAAAAACTCTAACACATTATCAGAGAGAGCGTGCATAAGACTGACATGACACTGTCATAAACATGGAGTCATTATGAATGTTTATGACTGTTGTCATGAAGTGTCATTAGGTAAATAATGACATTTTTAATTGACTTTTAATGCAACTTTGCATAAAAATGTAGTTATTTACCAAATAATGCTAAGTTGACCATCTTTAAGCACTTTTAATCCAGCTTTCAATGTATATTTGCATTTAATGTTATGTCATGTTTATGACAGTGTAATGCCAGCCTTATGCACACTCCTTCAAATAAAGAGTTACTGTAAAAACTCCTCAGGAGGACTTGCTGCAGTGATTAACAGAGAAAGTAAAAACAGTTTACACTAAATGAAGCCAAACTCTGTCCCAGAATCAGTGGGTACAGCTAATAAATCAGGGAGTGGCGAGAATCTTCATCTGTTGGAGCAACATTCCCTACAGCCTCATGAAAACACTGGCCTCAAGAATGCTCATTACAGACACACACACACACACGCACGCACACGCACACACACACACACACACACGCACACACAGACACACACACATATCACTCAAAATTTTCATCAACTCAGATTCATCTTCCAGATTAGTAAAACAAAAAACAGAAAAGAGTGAAAAACGCTGATGGGTGTGTGTCCAGTCCTATTCTTCCATTGTAAGGTAATGTAATTTTATTTATACAGCACATTTTCAGCAACAAGGCAGTTCAAAGTGCTTTACATAAATTAGAAGGAAATATTAACAAAACAATAAGCCTAAGGAAAGAGTAAAAAGAAAAACAAAAATGTATAAATGAGGTCTTGGTTCTCCATTGTAGGCAGAACATCAATGATTTTACGATACACTAAAGCTGCAGTATGTAACCTTAATATAATTGTATAATTGTTCTGGTTTTTCCAGTGCTAACAAGAAACAACCAATCAGAGCCAGGAGGCGGGTCTTAGCGCTGTCAATCAAGCCCATGTATCATCTGTCTTATATTAAATTGTCATGACATGGTGACACAACACATTCCTCATAAAGGTTACACAGTGCAGCTCTAAATGTTGAAAACAAACCATGAGGTGGTGGAGTCATGGATGGTATGCTGTGCTACAACGGCGCGTTCACCTGAGGTTCTCCTCCATGAGTCCACTGCAGCTTGTAGGCCAGCAGTTTCCCCTGCAGCTCATCGTCCTTCAGCCTGGCCCACTGCAGAGACAGCTTCTGCCCTGACAGCTCAAAGCTCAGGTTCCTGGGGGCCACAGAGGGCACTGCAGACAGGGCCACACAGTTCAGTCAGCACCAGCTCTATTTCTCATCTGCCATGTTGGCGGAACAATCCAAAGCTGAAAGTGGGTCACTTCAGCTCGATTCTGGCTGGATACGGTATTCTGGATTTTTTCAATATTATAAATCAATTTTTTTAAATCTGACTTTTTAAATGTTTGAACAAAGTGAACTTACACCTGAACCATGAAGCAGCTGTATATACGGAGACGGCAGGGCAATAGCAGAGCTACCAGAACGACTTCAACCTGCTCGAAGTGCAAAGGATCCACAGCATGGGACTCACTTCCTGTCAGTTTAAAGTCTAAAACCAGCTTCAACATGTACAAAATACACACTAAACTCTGGCCATGTCATCCAGAAGCTAAAGCTTCTTTTTTATTGTCATGTTTTTTTTTTCTTTACTTTATTTGTATGATTTTGATAACATTGTGCCTGTATAAATTTTGCTGGATGTTAAATTCTCCCACAAGTTATTGCTATAAACAATAATATGGTTATTTTTTGTCAAAAGTGATTTGTTTTTTTCCAAAATAATCTTTTGGCAAAAACAGAGGTGGTCTTTATTTTAGGAAGGTGATGATATGTTGTCTATATTTTATTATTTTACTTCCTGATAGTTTTTAGATATACTCTTTAGAAAAGCCTGTATAGGAACAAGCATCTACACCGTAAGCACCATGATACAGGCATGGGAGTGCTCCTTTGTTCAGTCTGTCTATGTTATTGTGTGTCTGTCTCTATCAATTACTAATAATAAATAACATGTTGGTTCATATTCCTGCAGGCAGCGCTAAAATCACTTTAGCCAGCCCTTTTCAATGGATTGAGGCCACAAACAAAAGTTCATTGTACATAGAGGACTGGAATCCACTGGAGTAAGTCCAGCTGGACCAGTGCGCGCGCACACACACACACACACACACACACACACACACACACACACACACGCACACACACATGCACACACACACACAAAAGCACACACACTTGTATACACACACAAACAAATAAACACCCACCAACCCAGAGGGTTCAGCTCTAAGCAGGGGACCAGCAGCTCCAGTGTTTACTAATGAAACTCTGCAGCAGGCCCTGACCTGAGCTCAACACCTGGCTGTAAGCAGCAGCCACCTTAAACACAAATCCACCATCAGCTTCTTCACCTGACTCCGGGGTGATGAAGGTCAGCCACGGGGAAAACGGGGAGGCTCCCACCTCGTTCGCACAGGAGACCCTCAGGCTGTAGTTGGAGTGACTCCTCAGGCCAGTTAGCGTGTGGATGTGAGGAGGAACCTGCACCTCCTGCTGGGGGAGGTTCCACCTGCGCCCTGACACCCGCACCACCTGCAAGGGACAACCACTGACAATGTACCTCTACCTCTCTCTCTGTGTGTGTGTGTGTGTGTGTGTGTGTGTGTGTGTGTTTTACCTGAATCACACAGGTGGACAGTTCAGAGTAACCCATGAATCCCGGTTTCCATGACAATGTAACGTTGTTGTCTGTAATCCTGAGAAGCTGCAGGTCCACCGGAGCAGCTGGCAACACTTCAGCAGACAGACAGACAGACAGACAGAGAGGCTGATTGGTGCGTCATTTATTTATTTAGAACATTTCAGCAACAAGGCAGTTCAAAGAGATTGTCTTTTCAAAACAGTTCCTCCTTTTTCCCCTCTTTGTGTTGTGTTTTTGTTTTGTTGTAAATGTAAACGGTAAAGAGAAGGAATTTTGTAACTGATCACAGACTGAAACTGTGAACTTTAGGTGGAGTCAAGCTTGTGTAATCTCAATGCTTCAAAAATAAAGAATTTAAAAAATATCCATCACTCGTCAGTTATGAAACAAGCAATAAACAATACATTTAGTTAAACATAATCAAAATCATCAAGCAAATACAAAACCAATAAGCTGATCGATGTCCCAGTTCCTGCTGAACAAATAACTCTAAACAGGTGAGTTTTAAGTCTTGATTTAAGGGACTCAGTGTTTCTGCAGTTCTACAGTTTTCTGGAAGTTTTGTTCTAGGTAAGTGGAGTTCTGGATGCAGAGCAGAACCAGAACCAGGAGACCTGAGAGGTTCTGAAAGGTTGATACAACAACAGCAGATCTTTAATGTACTGTGGTGCTAAACCCTTCAGTGATCTATAAACTAGCATCAGTATTTGAAAGTCTATTCTCTCAGTGAAGGACTTCAGATCTGGGTGATGTTCTCCATTGATCTGTTCTGATTGATTTTTTTTAGGCAGACCTATGAAGACACTGTTCCAATTTAAAAGTATGAATGAGTTTCTTTAGATCTTGCTGAGACATTAAACTTTTAATCCTGTGATATGTTCTTCTGGTGACAGAAGGAAAACTTTTTTCAGGACAGAGTCCATTACTACAGCCAGATTTGGAGCAGGACACACCTTTGATGTGGACGGTTCCGGTTCTGGACACAGAGATTCCTCTGGCGTTCTTTGCTTCACAGTAAAACTTGATGCTGCTGTTCACACCTGCACACACACACACACGCACACACACACACATGCACACACACACGCACAAACACACACACACGCATGGGACAGGAAGAGCTGGAGTTTTAGCAGCAGCTGAAGAAAAATGAGATGACCTTTCACATTTCATTTGTATTAGAAAAAAAAAAATCTGAAAAGTGCAGTGTGAATCTATATTCAGTCCAATCTCTCCTGAATATTTTATGGAAGAACTCTTCGCTGCAGATCTTCACCATGTCTTTCCCCAGATTCTCAGCTCAGTTTTGACTTTGACTAGACCTTTTCAGCTCATGCATTTTGTTTTTTTTCCCACGAGAATATGCTTTGATATAACCCCTTCTACTAGAGCTCTGGCTGCATATACTATATGAAGGACCTTGAATTAATATGATTGGAATAATGAATTTAATTAAATAAATAAAATTAATTTGCAGCTTAGAGCTGCAAATGTCACATGATCTGTTGAAAAAAAAGACAGCATCACTTTATTTGACAGGGTGTATATAAGACTGACATGACACTGTCATAAACATGACACAACATCTGTCATGAACATGAAGGAGTCTTTATGAATGTCTATGACTGTCGTCATGAAGTGTTATTCGGTAAATAATGACACTTTTAATGCAAAGTTGACACTCTTATTGGATTTTTACAGCAACTTTTAGAGCAACTTTTATTTACCAAATTCAAAAAGACTCCTTCATGTTCATAACAGGTGTTATGTCATGTCCAACAAGCCACTTGTTCCACTAGCACTAGGCCAGATGGTTCTTCTGTATGAATTTATCTTGCCACAACACATGATGTGTCCCATAACTGGATTACTAAAAGCTTCAGACAGGATTTCTATCTGAAGCCAATCTGAGCTGCAGGGATGCACAGCGTCATCCCTGATGGTCTGCATGATGTTGTTTGCTCTCTAATGTTCTCTAAAGAGTCTCTTAGGCCAGCAGCAGAAGAGTAAAGACTCAGATTAAATAACACAAAGCATGAGTCTCACAACAATTAGGTTCTGAAGGCAACTGGTAATACTGGATTTTACTGAATCAATAAAGGTGAGTAGAAGTGTGAGTCAGACTTTTCAGGTCTTGATTTGTGAAGGGTTTTATTAAAACTTAGTGTTGTTTGTTACATAAAGGCCAATAAAATACATTGAAGTCTGTGGTTGTAAATGTATTTAGTGAGTGGTGTAAGATCCTGTCATAACAATCTACATCAACAGGCAGGATCAGTTCAGATGTCAATGTCTCAACATGTCTTACTGACAGGAAACACTGTGTGTGTGTGTGTGTGTGTGTGTGTGTGTGTGTGTGTGTGTGTGTGTGTGTGTGTGTGTGTGTGTGTGTGTGTGTGTGTGTGTGTGTGTGTGTGTGTGTGTGTGTGTGCCTGCATGCATGTCACTTTGTGTGTAAATCATTGACAGGTCCAGAACAGAGAAGTGTATCGATGCCTGTTTTTTCCAAGCTGATTGGTGTATGGAGAATGTGACACATCAAATTAGAAATGTTCAATTCTAAAAGGAAAGAAAGAGCAACTAAAATTTCAAGATCCTGCCTCAACTTCAAAGTGAAACACTTTCCAGTCTTTTATTTTGAAGTTCTGATGTGGATTGTAGAAGTGACCTTCAGATTAAATCCAGTCCACCTGACTCATCAGGTGGACTGGACTGGAAAAGCATCAGCTTTTTTGAGTTCAGTTCTAGGAACTAAATATGCAGTCATGGCATATTTAGGTTCATTGTTGTTTAATTATAATGCAGAATGACTAGAAGCAGATGAATTTGTTACAGAGTATAAACTATTTAGAGTAAAAAGCAGTTTTCTATAAATAAAGAGTAAATATAGTTTTCTCAGGAGGAAGACTTCCTGTTTGAACCCCTACTACATCCGTCTTTGTCAGGAAGTCAGAGGACCCCATAGTAGCCATGGCTACTGTGTGAATGATTGATTATGAAGCGCTTTTGAGTCCTCGACTTGATAAACACTTTAAAAGTATGAAGCCATTTTTCAGATTCTCCTACCTAAACCGACCTTTCCATCTCAGTATCCAACTTAATCCTACGTCTACCTGACCTACCTGTTGGCTACTTCTGCAGCAGTAAAGTGGTTTGTGTTGGAATGCAGTGAGCTGTATTATTAAAACAAGGAACCTGGACTATTATTGCTATCAGTCAATTCATTTCCATCAGAAGCTCTCAGGGTCCAAAGACTCCATCTTCCTGCTGACTGGTTGTTTCCTAATTTTACCAGATTAAAGCCCTTTCTATCCTACCATCCCAGGCACTAACATGTAAAACCCTACTGGAGTTTTACATGTTAGACCAAGATGGCGCCTTTTCAGGAACAAACACAGGAAGGATTTTCACCCAAGCAGAGGTTCTGACCTGGGACATGGAGGAAAGAAGGGGATTGTTGGGGTCCTCCCTCCTGGACTCCTCCCAGCCACCACAGCACTTCCACAGGCTCAGGGGGGCCGACAGCGGCACAAGAGAGGTTAAAGGGGATGTTGGGGAACGTCGCCACATCCTGAGGTTCCTGGATGAAGTGAGGGACGCCTGTGGGGGAGGGTGACCACCAGGGGACTGAGCAGGAGCAAACGCAGACAGATTTACTACAGCAGTGTGTTTACGGCCTTACCTTCAACTGTTATCCAGGCTCGGTCAGAGACGAACTTCTGACCATGGGACTCCACCAAACACCAATACTGACCAGCGTCCTGCTGCTGGACCGATTTCACACTGCAACCACAAGGTAGAACGTCACAACCATGGACATGCTTCAGCACTGCTGCCTCTGCAGGTCCAACAGAAACGACAATCGGCTGACGTCACCTCTACAAACGCACGAACTGAAAACCAACAACAATCAACCAAAGCCCCGTGGAGGAGGAAAACTGTTCCACCGCACCGCGCAGCTGTCTGCTGATGTCATCTACACCAATATGGCTTTTCAAGTGAATAGCGGTGAGACTCAATGAACATTTTTTATCCAATTAATTGGAGGATCTGCAATTAATTACATTTCAATTGAACAGTACTGTATATACAGATAATGTAAATAGCATTTTCAATAAAAAAAAGTTTTTGCCGCTAAATTATTGACAAATAAATAGACATATAAAATAAATAACAGCCCTTGTAAATAGCAAGCTGAAATATGGTAAATGACTTGTACTTGTATAGCACGTTGTTATGTACTGAAGTCCCCAAAGCAATTCGCACCACACTGTTTTTCCTTATTGATGGTCAGGTGATCAAATACATTTAATCATATACTTTTAATGACAGTGTGGTTGATGTTTTGGATGTTTATGCACATTTCACTTTAGATGCAAAATAACAGAACCAACTAAAAATCATATTGTTTTTACTGTTCCCCAAAATGTAGCTCCCAAAATATTCTCTTTCTTTTGACTGTCTAATCTCAGGGAAAGATCTGTTTTCAGATCAAAAGAATGGTTTATGTTTACTTAAAGGGTTGTATTGTGGAAAGACTATGAACATTTTCTTGCGTGTAAGTAGGAAGTAATCAGTTGAAAGTGACTGAATTTCCTCACTTCAAATAAAACTAAAGAAGGTTGGATTTTCTGAGTGGCTCATGCAACTGCTTCTTTCTAAACGTTGGGATCGTTACATCAGGCCCTTTGCTCTAGGGAAGCGTTGGAACAGCGTACTGCTTCCCGAGCCATTCTTCTGTTTGTAATGGCTGCTGACAGAGCGGGACCACAGAGGTCTGAGCCGAGTGGCCCAGTGGGCCACAGTGTGCTGCCAAGCATGCTGTCCTGATTGAAATCTGCTTTCAGTGCGAGACAGAGCTCTGTGACAGAACCTCAGCACACTAAATGAGAAATAACAACCACTTAAAATTAGACATGAGCGTTTTCATTTCTTATTTGTCCAAGTCTTTTCTACTGTGCCTAATACCCAATAACATAATTTTTTAAAATCTCTTTCATTTCACTGGCATAGAATAAAACATCTTTTAGTGAAGCAGATCCTGATTTAGAACTGAAAAAGTGACAGATTTATACAGAAATCCTGCAGCGTGACTCCTAACTCTGACTCCTTATGTCCTGCACTTCTCTGCTACTGCTGACAAATTGATGCAACAAATTCAGACAAAATGAAATCTTCTTAAAGCAGAAACTGCTAAGATAAGACCTTCTATTCACTTTCCTTTTTGATTTGTGGTAAAATGGACGATAAACAACCAGGACTTTTTACAGAAAAACCGCATGCACTAAAAGCAAACAAGTGCAATCTATTTTAGACAAACCATTTTGGTGTTAGGATGAGGTGGTGCTTTTGGCCATGTCCAAATCGATGTATTTCAGTAGGAACACTTATTTTTGCTTCACAACACGACGTCACCACTGGCACAGACTACAAAGAAGACAATGACAGGAAGTAGTAGGAGGATGACTTATCCAATTAACAAACTAAATAAAGTATGATTTAAATTGCTTTTCATATTTGGCGGAAACACACCAATTGTGAAATTCCTTTCATTCGTCATTAGTGGAACACTGACAAAATTTGTGACTAGAAACGTGTCACCTAGTTGGCAAAAAAAAACAATAACAGCAACACCATTTTGTGTTATTAGGGCATTAGAGGTTAAATTTTAATCTGCCCTTGGGAAGAGCAAGGAGGACAAAGTTTACAGGGAGGCGTGGGAGAAGTAGAATGATTAGTGCTAAAAACAAAAAGCGGCCCAGCCTCTATTTACAGCTGATCTGCTGTTTAGCCCTCACCAGAGCAGAAAAAACACCAGCAACATTCACAGACTCACTCAGAACCCAGAGCTTACAGCCACAGGGACAAAATCACTCCTAATCTACTGATCTGATTTGTTTCTTCAGCCAGAGAAGGAAAATAAAGTGATGATGTTGTCTGGGCAACATCAGACTCCCTGTGACACGTTCAGACATCTTCCCTGTTTTTCACACCAGCAGCATGAACCTGTTCACACAGTGCCGTTTTCATTTTCACATTTTGTCATAATCCCACAAATTTCAATGTATTTGATTGAATTTTTCTGTGAAAGATGAAAGCAAAGTAGTGCATAATTGTGAAGAGGAAGTAAGAGAATAAAGAATTTTCAACATTTCTTTCACACATAAACAATCGGTGCACTCCTAAATTTGCAAGGCACTGTGAACTCGGCCATGTTGGCGAATCTCAGTCATTTCCAGTGTGGTGCTGCTGGACCTGTGGGACGTCTCCCAGTGCTGCTCTCCCAGGATGAGGAAGATCTGATCTGTGCTGTACAGCTTCTCCCCGTCCTTAATCCAGATGATGTCCGGTTCGGTCAGGCCTTCCACAGCGCAGCCCAGCCTCACCTCGTTCCCCTGAGTCACCGTCTGATTGGACGGGTGTTTCGTGAAGCGCACACCTGCAGAAGAGGGGGATACTTTGTAAACCACTCCAATACTTATCACAACAGGATCTGCCAACAGGGAAAAGCTGTAGTGGTGGCATAGAGCAGCAAGGAAGGAGATGAGCAGCGCCATTCAAGAGTATGATTGTCAGCACCAAGACCCGCCTCCTGGCCCTGATTGGTTGGTTAGATAGCACTGGGAGAAGGTAGAGGAAATTTATTTTTTTTCACAGATTTTTGTCTCATTGTCACAATATAGTGACAGTTTCAACAAATATGTAGAAATAAATAATTATAGAAGTTACATACTGCAGCTTTAATGAGCATTTGAGGCAAATCAGCCAACTTGCAGTGGATCCTATTCACCTATGCCCAGATTGTCTTTGAAGAGCACATTTGAAAAATGACAAAAAAAAGATACATGACACATAATTGGCTGGCATTTGCAAGGCAGCCATTTTCTTTGTTTCTGATGAAAACAAAGAAAATGTTTTCTTCCCTATCTCTGTATTCCCAAGAGGAGAGCTAGGTAAGCATGTTTAAGTTAGCTCCTGTGGAAGTGCCAAGATGGTTTCCACTGTTAATGTTAATACATATTAAGGTATATGTGGTGTTTGACCCATTTAAATGAAACATTTTTCAGTGTTTTTAGAACAAGTCCCAAGTATTTATTTGACGGTTTGAGTTCATTGCAGGTTGTTTAGCTCCCTAACCCCCTTGGATACGGCCTCAAGCTGACCCAACAAAAGATCACTGAGGTCGAGGTCAGGACTCCATGCAGGGCGCTCCACTCTTTCCACTCCTCAGTTCGACAACTTGTTCCTTGAGAATTCAGTTGAAGATTTGCTCATGTTTGTAAGCAAACCTCCTTTTTGAGAACCATCAACAAACCTGAGGCATTGTTCAGATTCACTGACCAGTCTCCTTGAGTAGCTAAAGTTGAGTGAAATCAGGTTGCTGGGATAGTCTACCTTTACTAAAACTTCTCAGACTGCTGAATCCACTCCATACAGTCACTGTCCTCCATTGGGAATCCCCAACTCTGTCACAGTTAAACCATCTGGCAGCTCATTTGAAATATGTCGTCCTTCATCCACTTTGTACCGATGTACACCGTCATTGGTCATTGATCGTTGCTTCAGTCTCCTTGAGTTTGAAAGGCCTCCTAACATACTTCTTCTCACTGCGTCCATAAAACTCCGTCTTTGTCTCATTTGTCTCTAGAAGCCACATGGTTTGTCCATAAGAGCATCTCATCAGTCCATGTGAATGTAAACTTCACTGTAGACAGTCTGATGAGCGTCCACAAACCGTCCACAGTCTGTGCTTCTGGACATTAAGATCTAATGTCCAGAGGCTTCCAGGTCAGGTCAAGCTTGAGCCTTGTTATTTCCTGGTTTGTTCCTAAAAGAATTGAACCCACTTCCTGTCATCTGAGGAGGGGAAGTTGAGGTCTTCTTCCAGATCTTTGGAAAATGAGAATACATCCATAGAAATGGTCCTCATGGGCATTTGCTGGGACTGATGATCTTCAAAGGACTTTCTTTCTTTGTGTAAATCTACCAATATGTTTCTATGACCTTCAGATAGTTCCCTACATGCTTCTGTTCTTCTAAGTTTTAGTCGACCCAATGTTTTATCATGCTGGTGAAGAGAAAGCTCCATTTACTCATAATCTCTGCCAAAGTCAATGAAAATAGAAAAGCGTTTGTGCCACTTATTCAAAGATTTCTATGAATGTACAAATTTAGGCCATGTGTAAAGGAGATATTCTGTTTCGGGTTGGTTTCCATAAAGTAGTAAATTTTTATTAATATTAGATCTAAAGTCTAATCTGACAGATGTGAATGCTGAAGTGATTTCGTTGAATAATAATTTACATTCTTTAAAACGTAATTTATCTGAGTAACACTACTCAAAAAGTCATTTTGATGACTTTTCTAATTTTTGTAGAAACTGAATTTTGGGTTTTCATAAGCAGTGAACTATAGTAAAAACACTCGTGTATCCTTCTCTGTGTAATGAATCTGTGTAATATTCATCAATTTTTTTAAAGAACTTGAATTATTGAAATAAATTTAATTAGTTTGATAATATTCAAACTGCTCATGAAATGATTCCGTGAGATGAATCTGTACAAAGTTCAGATCTTTCATAGACAGATGAGACATCTGAAAAACTACATTCTGACTGTGATCTCTGACCTCAGAACTTAATCTCAGAAGTTTAACATTTTCTCAGAATTTAGAAAAGTTTCTTTTCCCAGGGGCCCTAAACCTCTTCCACATCTCTGTAGATGTTCCTGTTGGACCAGAGGTAAAGTTTGTTGTGGTCCAGCAGTCTTACAGCCTCACTCCTGGTGTTTCCATTTAATGAGAGGAAAGTTCACATGTCATAACTTGTTGTCCCTCCCCGGTCCAACAGGTGAGACTCAAAGTTCGTCCTCAGCATGTTCCCTGGCTGTTCCCACAGGGGGCCGAGGCTGAGAAAGTGAGGGAACCATTAGCTCTCCCAGCTAACTGACTCAATAACACTCACCGCTCCCACAGCTCCCAGTAAGAGTCCGCAGAGCAACAACAACGACCCACAGCAGCGGCTTCATCTTCTCATCGTCTCAACGGGCTCCTTCTGCCACTTTGACCGACGTGTCGCTCCGCTGCGCTCTTCCTCATCGTTCATGAAGCCTGACTTTCCAGCGCGTGAACCGAGGAACACCGACGGAATGACCGAGAGGGGAGGGGAGGGAGGGGAGGGAGGGGAGGGAGGGGAGGGGAGGGGAGGGAGGGGAGGGGAGGGGAGGGGAGGGGAGGGGAGGGGAGGGGAGGGGAGGGGAGGGGAGGGGAGGGGAGGGGAGGGGAGGGGAGGGACCACTGGAGGAGCCGCGGAACTCAGAGGAGACTCGGGGGAAACAAGCTGGTGGTGGAGCTCCTCCTCCTGAACACTGACTGCACTCACTTCAATAAACTGGAATATCATTGAAAACGTAGAAACTTCCATCACTAAGTGCTGCACATTATATCTGTTATAATGACTTTACACTAATGAAAACAGTGTAAACACGTTAAAATTAAAATATTACATAAAACTCAAATTGACTTTCTGAATAGCATATAGATAGATAGATAGATAGATAGATAGATAGATAGATAGATAGATAGATAGATAGATAGATAGATAGATAGATAGATAGATAGATAGATAGATAGATAGATAGATATAGATAGATAGATAGATAGATAGATAGATAGATAGATAGATAGATAGATAGATAGATAGATAGATAGATAGATAGATAGATAGATAGATAGATAGATAGATAGATAGATAGATAGATAGATTCAGTAAATTACTTTTTGTTTTTGACCTCTGTAGACCTGTGGATGTAATGTTACATCAGCCTGTATGAAAAATGCTCTGCAAAGATGTGTGTAAACATGTGAATGGATGCATGCATGCATGTATGGATGGATGGATGGATGGATGGATGGATGGATGGATGGATGGATGGATGGATGGATGGATGGATGGATGGATGGATGGATGGATGGATGGATGGATGGATGGATGGATGGATGGATGGATCCCTCTAATTTGTTTTAAACATCCCTGCAGCTGAGATATTCATGTGTCCAGAATATGCCCACTGCCATCCTGTGTGTCTCTGCTGCAGCTTCCTGTTGATAACATCCTGTTTACAGCTTCACAATGTCCAGGTTGATCCAGCGTCGGCTGAAGAAGAACACAGTTTAACCAGAACATTTAGAGTTGGAGAACAGATAGACGGACAGGTTCATTCAGACGTTTACAGAAGGGCTAATGAAGTTCTCCTGTGATGTTATTGAGAATTTATTTGTGTTGTGATATGTTTTTGTTTAGATCAATGAAAGTTTATGTCAGAAATATTTTAAATGTTTTAGGCAGTAATTAAAAAAACAGTTTGATGTTTAAGCTGATGAAAATAAATAAAAAAGATATGAATGAATAGTGGCCACTGGCCAGTAAATTATTAGAATTAAAATGTGCAATGTGTAAGAATAGTAATCACTCATCTTTGTATTTATGGACTTAAAAATGTAACGTTTGAATTAACATAACTTCATGTTATTGATCTTTTCCCAGCGTTTTGTTTAATTCACATTCCCATCAGCTCAATTTTTAATCCCTTGTTTTTCTGGTGAGCAAAATCAGATTAAACTGCCTGAAAAAGAATCTGGGTTTGCTGTAGTTTACTTTAACTGGGCCATTACAGCCATGCTTTTGTAGATTAGCAGTTTTAGGTGACCCAGTATGGACCCACGGTTTCCAAAACAAGCCCATATCATCACTCCTTCACCACCATGCTTGACAGTTAAAGTGCCGTGTTTTTGTATTTGGCCAAACACAAAATGTCTCCAGTGAGCTGACACTTTTTTTTTTAAAGAAAAAAGATGCATCCTTATATAACCTCGCTAAAGAAGTTATAAGGGTTTTGTATTTTGCCAATGATCTTTTTAAGAGCTTTAACGTCAACCTGCTGCTGTAGACCTGTGGTGTTTCACATGGAGCTAATCAACACAAACCTGTCCAACATGTTCAGTTGGTAGTTCTTTTCCCCTGAACAGAAGACTGACTGGAACGACGACACAGGTTGTTAAAGCTGGACTCACAAGGTTTTCAAATATCAGTGAGGTTGTAGGAGAAAAAAATGAAGCACACATTGACTAACTTGTTAAGCATCCGCTTTAATTAAATACAAGACAAAAAAAGATTACAGACAAATTTCCATGGACATGCTGGAGAGCCACTCCTTCACTCCACCCGTTTGTTTCGGCAGCAGAGAACAGAATGTGTCTGTTTAAACACAATTACAGAGCAGGCAACGACACATACTGGCTTCAACAGAGTATCACTTCAGTTGATTGTTTTAAAGTCATAAGGATAAGTGAATACACTTGCTTAGTGTCATAGCAAAAAGTAAGAAGTCTGGTTCCTAGACTCAAACCCAGCTCAACTGTTTGCACATTACATTACATGTTTATCTCTGCCGGATAATTAGAAGCAACAAAAATGCCCCCTAAAAGAAGAAAGGATTTTCTTCTTTTAGCTCCACACTGCTGGGTGGATCTTCACAGGGTCACATGGTGGGATGCGCTAAAGATGGCGGTGATTAAATAAAACTGCAAGGCATGAGCTGGGGGGAGCGGTTTAATGTTTTTGCTAACAGGTGAGTACGATGTGACGCCGCACTGAGCAGCTGCACTATAAAGTCACCGGACCTTATGCGAGACAAAAACAGCCGTGAAGCGTCCAACATCTCCGAAGCCTCCTGAGCTCTGCCACAGGGCCAGAGTCACAACATGCAGAGAAAAACTCCAATTAAAAAAACCTGCTGCATCAAGATCTTCTGCATCAAGATCCGGACTTATGAAAGTCTGTGACATCACTTCAATGTCCCTATTCTGGAGGTGCATGTTGCTCGTCGCTCAGTGAAAGCCTGGAAGCTAATCCCGGTTAAGAAGCCGCTCTGGATCTCAAGGTGGTCGTATTGAGCCTGCCTCGCCGTCATCGTCCGTCTCCGTCTCAGCAGGTCCAGTGTCTGTGTGGAGTGCTGCGGGAAGCACCTCGCTGCAGACCAATAAGAAGCTCCGGCTGGTGCAGGATGGGGGTCGAGAGTATGGTGGGTTACAGACTGACGCCAAGTCTAGAGTCGTCATGGTAGCGGGGATTCAGGCGAACTTCTTCTTGGTGGCAGTGAAACGCTCCATGTACTGATGAGAGAGGAAGAGAGACATGAACAGACCAGAAGAGAGTGTGGTAACCTGGGATCGGCCCTGAATGGGGTTTAGCTGGTCTGGAAGTACAGAGGTTGACCCCTGACCCTTAGGCTCAAGGTGTCAGGGTGTTAAACTTGAACTCGTAACAGAAGCAAAGACGCTGTGTTCGATCAGCTAAAGGAGTCTGGTTCCATCTGTCATGAACAGCTTTTGAAAATCTCCTTGTTAAAGTCAGGATCTAATTATGGAGACTTTTTAAGAAATAAAACCAAGTTAAAGTATGTCCTATAAAATACAACTTTGATTTGTACAAATATTCTGCTTCATATCCAGGTGATTTGTTAAAGACAGAGAAAGACAGCTTTAGAACGTCTACAGCATTTACACATATTCCTTCGAGTTTATTTAACCATAAATGGATCTTTGTTGAGACAGCTCAGTTCTTTACTTGCATAGAAAAAAATACATGGATTGCTAATAATAATAATAATAATACTGAGCTGACCTTTTCATATCCCTCCAGCTCTCGGAGCTTCTTCACCTCGAACAGGTTTCCCTCCACGGAGAACAGGGACACCTGGGACTCGGTCAGGATGGACTCAGGAATGGACGACAGTTCCAGACAGTTCTCCTCCAGACGCAGAACTTTGAGACGTGGACAGTGGGACACTTCTGCTGACAGCACTGAGATCTGACGGGCAGCAGAAAACCTGCTTACACTCCAAAACTCTTAAAGGACTGTCTCATAGGTTCTGCAGGAAGCAGCTGTTATGTATCCTATCTGCAGAAAATAATTGAATCTTTTCAACAGAATCTTTCACAAGAGGAATGGTGCAAATTTTATTTTAATGTGCTAATTTTGCCAATATTTACCACAGATCAATACTTTTGGTGTCAAATCACAGCCTACATATTTTGAACCACAGAAGGATACACATTTTCTAGATCCTGTGTCTCCTTTTTTCAAAATGACCACTGTAATGTTTTATTAAAATCACCAGTGGTGGGCAAAGCTAACCAAAAAGTTGTGTTCACTAATTACCAATTTGCCAATCAAGAATCTTAGCTCACTAAAACCAAAAAAGCAGCGGAAGCAAACAGTACACCTCTAAACACATGAGAAAATGAGCAGGAAGCAAACACTGACCCGCTAAACAGGTGAAAAAATGAACAGAGGCTATCGCTAAACCCATGACAACAGTGGGACCCAAGAAAACAGTAGCAGAAGCTAAAGGTAAACCTCTAAACACATAAGAAAATGAAATCGCTAAAAACATTATTTTTCCTCATATTCATACAACTTTAAAGTTGCATTAATGTGATTATGAGGACCAAAGGAAAAAAAATGCAATAAAGTTAATAAAGTTAAGTCACAAATATGGGTAACATTTTATCACAATAATTGGTTTAAGACTCAAAAATGTCATCCTGAAACTGAAGGGGCTGCTGGGAAATATAACAAACATTCAACCTGAAAGGTTAGCATACTAATGTTTCTGCTTGTGTCCACACTTGAAGGATCTCGACAGTAATATGCTGCTCTCTTTTTGATAATGACACCTGGTTTTGGTTGAGGTTGATCTCGATGGCCTGCAGCTCTGAGACGGCTGCCGGGACGCTCTGAATCCTGTTCTTGGACAAATCCAGCAGGTCCAGCTGCCTCAGCGTTCCCAGGCCTGCTGGGAACTCGGTTATCTGGTTCCCGGACAGGTTCAGGGTCCTCAGGGCCTTGAGCTGGCCCACGGCGGGGGGCAACTGCTGGATCTGATTCCCATTCAAGCTCAGGGTCTCAAGCTTCTTCAGCTTGCCGATCTCTGCAGGAAGGCCAGCTTAAAGAGGGAAAACAGAAATGTTAGAGGAAGTGTGGTTGGAATGTCCAGAAGCAGACAGACAGACAGACACCCTCCCTCCCTCCCTCACTCACTCAGCTTGTTGGAGTTCAGCGTCAGGCTTTTCAGCTGCAGGAAGTTTCCGACTGAGGCTGGGAGAACCTCGATCTTATTGCCAGACAGATCCACTGTCCTCAGATTTGCGGTGAGCTTCTGGAGCTCCTCTGGAAACTGAAACCAGTCAGACACCAGGACAAGTTCAGAACAGCGCCATCTAGTCTACCTCAACGTCAGCATCCCTTTAAAATACACACAGAACTGTTTTACAGCTGCAGCATGATGCCAGAATGCCTATCAACGATCCGTAAATCACTAACACATTGATACCCACTGCTTTTATTTTTTGCCTGATTCTGTTGGAAGGGACTGCACTACTCAGACAGAAAGTGACTCTTTTCCACTTCCTCCCAACTGCTCCTCCTACCTCCTGCAGGCCTTTGGCCGTCAGCTGAAACACTCCCGTTTTCTGGGAGGTCTCCAGGTGAGACTTCAGCGCGCTGTTACCCATGTTCCCCTCTGGCTCCGGGTGTCCAGCTCACATCCAGCTCACGTCCGGAGGTGGGGCCGTTTCCATGGAGCTCCTCCTCCCTCCTCCTGGTTAGAAGCTGTTAATGAGATCAGAGGATGAAATCCCTGCAGGACACACAGGCCACACACTGACACCCTCCTGACAAACAGCCGCTGACATCTAATCATGACTGTGGAAATGAAACACAGTATTGGGATCTTTTCCTTCTTCCCTGATGTGCAGCAACACAGAAAATCAGGTCCATGTTGGATCATTTCCAGGTGCAAAATAACACAGACGACAGACAAAAACTGACTGAAGATGCTCATAGATGTACAGACGTAAACATATCACTGATCAACTCTGTGCCAACAGCCTACAAGTGAACTAAATAACCAGAAACTCCACAGACTGCAGTGTTTATGACAAATCAACTGTTTTATTTGGATGTTTGCAGTGAAAACATGTCATTATGACCCATTTCTGCTGGGTTAAGACTCTGAGCTTGTGAACATGAATGAGTCGTTGTCTTTGAATACTTCAGTGCGTGTAGTAGATCATGAGCTCAGAATGCAGGACAGACTCAGCTTTGTTCTGAACTCTGAAAGGTAGCCCTGTCACAATAACGCGTTTTGCTGTGGAATAAATTGTTCCATCAGTTATTGCAATAAATGATAATATTGCAGTTTTGAGATCATTTTCAAGTGACTTATAAATAGTGGCATAAAAATATGTAGGCACTTTTAACAAATAAATTTAATTATGAAGTCTCTGTAAACAAAATGATCTATCACAAAAGGAATGATTGAGACCAAAACACCAGGTTGAAGACTTTTATCATTCAGTTTTTTGGTAAAAAGAGAGAAAAAAAGATAAAAATAATAAATCAAGCAAATGAAAATTATTCTGTTCCTTTTCATGCGATTAATTGATTTAATGTGACAGGCCTAGTTGGGTCAACCAACCTTAGATCAACTTTAAGTCTGATGTTCATTCACGACTGCAAACTTTAATCTTCCATCAAGATAGTTTTTAAATTTGCCAATAATTTGGGTCTGGATTTCAGAAAGAGGAGCAGTGCATACAGGCTGAGCCAAACACAGTAGGATCTTTATCGAATTCGTCCTTAAAGTTCAAACTGATATTTAGAAAAACAAAAACGTGTGAAAAAGCATAACGTAACAGAGAGATGGGTTACTCTAGATAAATGTTAAATCGGATGAAGATAATCTTCTACAGAGGATGATGAGGACCACTGGAAGAAAACAACAACAATTCTGACGTCAAAGCAGAAGAGAACCGAGGAGAAACCAGCTTCACAGACAGAGACGTGAGATGTTCAGGGGAACAAACGACCTGGACGAACATGACCACTTAAGTGATTTTTTTAAAATTTTTTATGTGGCTGTAGAAATCAGAATTCAAAGAGAAAAAACAAACAGTTCTTTAGTGGCTCTAGTTTTCTCCCAGAACATTCATTCTCATTTCCTGGTTTTGTCTTTCACAACTAAAACATATGATCATAATTAGCATTGATTCTTTTCATGGCTCGATCCAGAATAGTTATTGAATTTACCAATAAAGTATAAATGTTAGGATTCCAACGAATCCTACTGCTTTGAATAAAGTGTCATTTTTAGGCTTCCTATCAAAAAGATTTTCATAATCGTCTCAAATTTTCATAAAATTTAGAGCAAATATATGTAACCTACTGAGACTGAGAATCTTTCTTTTTTTTAATGAATAAGTAGATGTTGAGGTCCAGTTATCATTTAAGATTTTATGAAGCCTATTACTTTGCTTCATACTGACACATTATGCCTATGCCTTCACTATTAATATTAAACAAGAAACGTTTTATTATTATAACTATAATAATTAATGTTATGCTGGCTTTTATTGATGCTTTAGGATTTTAACTAGTCCAGTTAAATTGTGCTACACATTGCTGCTTTCTTTTGTTGTACTGCCATAGTTACCAGAACACGTTAGAATGAACACACACTAGTTTCCTGCCAGCAGCTCAGGGCCCTGCACTGACCCGCAGGGCCAACTGAGATCCATCAACCCTCTCAGCTTGGCGCTCCGCCTTAAAGCCTCTCTGCTCACAGATTACCGTGACGTGACCCTGCAGCCAACTTCTGGGACTTCGGTGTCGTTAACTCACTTCACCGTGGATTCGGAGGACGGTTCTGGTCCGGATCAATAAGCTGAACTCTGACCGAACCGATGAAAACAAGTTCAGTGAGGAGGATCAGCTGAGGGAGTCGCTGCTTCAGAGTAAATCTCCTCCTCTTCCCTTTCCGGCTTCTTCGTCTTCCGTTTGCGGAGTTACGTTTAGTTTTTGGTGTATTTCTGCCACCTATTGGGCGGGAGTGGTAGTACTCGAACTGTGCCTCCATTAGTACTGCGTGGACAGGATATGGTCCACGCAGTACTAATTGAGGAAAAAAGAGATTAAAACAAAGTCCATCCACTTCAATTGAATTGTACTCACTTCTGATTCCTACTTTAATTCTTGACATATTTTCCCTCCCTCCGGTTCAGCACCATCATCCCAGATTCTTGGTGGAAAATAATATTCATCAGCTCCTGAATAAGAGATCCCTGTAAATGGATATAAAAGATTAAAATTGGCCTCTGTAATCAACACTGGCCCTCCACAAGGGTGTCTGCCATTGTGAAATTATTATAAAATAATAACAATCATTTTTTTAAAAAAATCATCAAATCCACAAAAAAACAACTTTTGTTTGAATCCAACAAGCAGACCGTAGGGGGCGGTGTTGCTTTTCTAAGATGTTCACCGGAAAAGAAGAAGAAACTTGGCGGAAAAGCGCTCAGATTTGAGTCGAAAATCCACAACCGTCCTCCGACGGTGTGTCAAACAAAGCGGGTCGATGATGTGGTCGGGAGCCTGAGAAACGACGGGAAGGTGAGAGCAGAACCTTCAGCTGACCTCCGGGTCATCACAAGTCAGGGACAGCCCGTCTTCTCTGACCCGTTGAACCAATAGCTGTGACGTATTTTTTGTAAGATAAGAACTTCTGAAAGGCAGCAGACACTGACAGAGATATTCATCTGTTTTCAGGCTGTACTCTTGAGAAACCGACCGAGCCTGTTCAGATCAGGATCAGACAACATCCATGTTATCCTTCAGACAGTTTCATTCACATCCGTGGACTTTCACAGCTAGAAATATCGCCTTTTTTTCTCATTACACTGATTATTTTTCTTCAGTTTACGTTGTCGTGATTTTACATGATAAACCCACCCACCAATAATGCATAAATGTGTTTGTGAAACCTCTAAATAAAATCAAGTGCAACTAATTTCAGAAGTTACCTGATTAGTAAACAGAGCCAAGCTGTGCGTCATGTGATCTGATAAATTCAGTTGTTTTCTGGCCTCCTGGGTTATTAGAGAACAATAGAGACCAAAACAGCTTCATGAAGACCAAGAATCACAGCTAGCAATAGAAACTAAAAGGAAAAAATATACCTGCAAGGAGCTGTACATGCAAAGTGGAAAATTCAATTCTTCTCTTAGCTGGAAATAGTTGTGGCCCTTTTTGTTATTTATCTGCTTGAAAATCTTTCCCTCAGAGCTGCTGTTAATTTTTTCTCCTGTGTTGTACACATGTACGTGTTTCTTTTGTTTTTTAAAAAAAGATCCTGATTATGTCAACATAAAAGTTTTTTTTTTTTTTGTCTTAGTTGACCACCAAACCCCTCCCTCTGGAGGCCAGAATGAGGTTAACTGGGCAGAAAAACCAGCAGGATTCAGACTGATGCGTTGGCTTCCATTAGCTGCTCTGGAGATCTGCTGTATTAATAATGTAGTTGAATGTCCATGTTTCACTTCCAGATGCATCAGTGGGATTTGTCTCCGTTCTCTGTGACTCCGGCTGCGAGTTTGCTGTCCAGATGCGTCTCCGTGGGAGCCGTTTCCCAGGTCAGGACATCATGTCCTCCTGCTGTTATATGAATTATTTTCTCCGGGTCTTCTTTCATTAAATAAAACACAAAGATGGATATCAGATGACTTAATTTGGAACCTATGAGCACAGTTTACATATTCACTATGTGTTTCATGATGGAGCAACATGTCACACACAAACCTGTGCAAATATGTAAGCAGAAGTTTGCAAGATTGGTTTTAAATGTGTAAGTAGGAAAACCAGACATTTTAGTCACTTTCTACATTTTTCTCATGAATCCCGATGTGTGAGTTGCATTCGGTAGGCCAGCGCTCTGGAGTGACATCTTGTCTCGATCTCCCCTCAGGATGAAATCGACTGTGCCTTTTCTGAGCCAAGTCCCGTTTTCTCGGCCCGCCTGCGTGAGGCTGAAGAGCTCATCAGAAAGCAGAAGCGGCTGGATGAGGTATGCCTCACTGTGACCCCACTCACTGCTTGTTGCATTGCATCCTAAAGTCCTGGCTGCAATGATTTCAGTTACAATCTATTTGTGCACAGGATCTAATTTCTACATAACAACAAGGTTTGTTGTTAGGGCTGAAGCGATTGATTGTGATGAATCTGTTATTTAACTTAGTGCTGTTAATTTACTAATTGATAAATCATTAACTGGACTCAAAAAAAAAAAACCCTGCAGAATAAGGTCAGAGCAGCAATTACATCAAAGTTGTACAAAAAAAATCTGTACATTTTGCGTTTAAGATACAAAAAGTGTTTTGTTTGTAAATATGTTCTTTCCAAAACTCCTCAGCTTGTTGATGAGCCAACCCTACTTTCAGGAAGGAAAAGTCCTGGTTTACAGAGAAAAATGACCCCTCATTAAATGAAAAAAAACCCAGTTTCCGTAGCAACCGTTGCGACCTTTATGGTTCTTCGGGCTACAACAACTGGCTGACGTTCTGTGCATGTGTTCTGTCCGGTCCCACTGATCCAGGTGCAGCTGCAGTTGGAGCTGTTGAAGGTGGATGAACAAAGTGCTGACGTCGCTCATGGATTCCACCTCAGTGAGTCTCGCCCTCATCCAGCTCTGTCACAAACCTTTTATTTTAATCTGAAATCAGATTGAGACTGATGTTGTTATGGATCAGGCACATATTCACCGTTACCCAATGTATTGTTTGTTTTTTCAATATTGTGACGATACAGATATGAATGTTGGATCATTTTTTAACAGTGCTTCATGAGAAATCCAGCTCAGTTTGCGACATGACGGAAACCAGGTTTCTGTTGATAAACCCGCCCCCTCCTCCTGACTCCTCCTCTCTCCATCAGGTCAGAAGAATGAGAAGCTGCAGTTGCTTGGTAACCACCTCCTGGGCGTCCTGAGGGAGCACAAGGTTCTAAGACAGAGGCTGATGCGGCCGCTGGCTCGCACCAACCTGCCCGTCCTGGCTCACCTGCACGCGTAAGATCTGACTGTTTAGAACAAGAGTTGGTCATCTGGTAGATGTGCTGACCTGGAAAAGTCTTTCATTCAGATAAATCAAACACATTTCCTTCACTGCACCGTTCAGCTCCAGCTCATGTCTAACTCTTTGCTCCAGCTCTGTGGTGGACTCCATCAGGCTGATGATGGACTTCATAGAGTGTCTGGAGGAGAAGCTGAGATCTACCCACAACCGGATCACCAGAACCGACTCTCTCGCCCTGCTGGTCAGTTCCGTCACAGACGTGGAACCACAAACCATAACCCGGTATCCGTTTACAGGATGTCAGTGTTGAACTTCTTAAAGTAACATCTAAAATTCACTTTTCAGAGCTTTACTTTACGCCAGTGCTTCTCAATTATTTTCCGTTACGCCCCCCTAGCAAGAAGAAAACTATTCGCGCCCCCCACTCCCCACCGTGACTATCCATCTCTGCATAACATTTTTTCCTTATTAACATTTTTTTCGCTGAAAAAACTCTAGCGGCTTATCGGCGTGATTGGGATGTAACGTATTTAAGTGACGCGCTAATTTATTTGGCTTCATGCTGTCCACTGCGAGCATTTTTAGACACAGCAAACACACCGGTCTTTCCTCTTCTCCACTGTAGTCACAGTGAAGCCAAGCGCTAAATAAGATTCGTCGTATTTCCTCTTCTTAGCTTTCGGTTGACTTTCTGTTGTCTCATTATCTTTGTCTCTCTCCGCTTTTCTTTTCATCCCTGTGAAAAACTTTTTCATGTTGGGGGTTGTTGAATAACGGAGGCCATAGACAGAACGCAGTCGGAGCTTTTGTTGACTTAACACTGCTAACCAAGGCAAACCTGTTGTCTTGTAAGTCATAAAATGTTGCACTGTCGCAAACGTGACAGAAGTAACAATGAGAGCGCCACTGCCGCCTACTGTGCGCAATTACACTTTATACTAGTACGGCCAAAAAAAAGCCTGTTCCCCAGGATCACGCACCGCGCCCCCCAAAGGGGGCCCGCCCCACTATTTGAGAAGCACTGCTTTACGCCATAACATTGTTCCCTCATAAGTAGCATACCAGAAGTGTAGCTTTAATTTTTTTCATGCATGTCTGAGAAATACTTCAATCTTCATGATAACCATTCAGTCATGCAAAACACCTGGTTGGACTTAGCTCCACCTTTCAGACACGGCTCCTCCTCAGCTGCAGCTCTCCCCTGCAATGGCCCCATTCAGCCCCTTCAGACTAGCCAGCAGCAATTAACAAATACCTGGTGGACCTGTGCATCAGCAGAGCTCATTATAGGAGTTACTTCTCAGTGCAGCGCTGGTAATAAGGCTGCTAAAGGGTTAATAGAGGAGCCGTGTTGTGATGACTTCCTGAAGGGGGAGTCTCACAACAGGACTTTTAAAGAGACAAAGACAATTTCAAGACATTAAATTAGGAAGTCAATTTTCTTTTAAGTCATATTAAGTATCTGCAGCATTTCTTTGACAACTTACGGGAACAGTTACTTAATTATGCCATAAAATGGCACTATGTGCCTGGAACACACATAATACTGCCCTTTTACTGACGACCAGTCTGGATAAAGTAGATAGTGTCTTATATTTTTCAGTCCATTTATCCAGCCATTCTTATCCGTTGTTTAATCTGCGGTTATCCCAAAGCAGTAACCTTTGGGGTTGGCTCAGTAACAGAGACATGGGAACATTTGGAGCACATTTAGCATAAAGCATGTTCTGACCACAGGTTGCAGGGACATGATCATTCTGAAATGAGTCTCTCCCTGTCTCTCCTCTCCAGGATAACTCGCTCGCCCTCCTGCTGACTATGGCTTCAGAATCTGAGATGTTGTTCCAGAGGATTCAGCAGTGGAGGTCGATCAGCTGCAGCCGCCCAGGAGGGTCTGAGGCACAGACT